CCCATCTGCATCGACAGCCACATCCGCCTAGTGTTCCAATGCGGCCACGGGGCATGCGCGCCCTGTGGCGCTGCTCTCACCGCCTGCCCCATCTGCCGCCAGCCCATCCGCGACCGCATTCAGATCTTCGTGTGAGTGCATTCAGCACACCGTGGCGGATCCCAGACCCTTCAACAAAACACGTGTATTTTATAAAAAGATTCTCGGACTTTGCTGCCTGCTCCTTGCCTAGCGATGCTGGGCAGGCCCCAGCGATCCTCACCATTCCCAGCAAACTCTCCCCACCCCAAAACACATACAGCGCACGAAGCCCCAGGCTGCCTGTAGGTCAGGAACACTCACTGGTTGTCGTGTTAGAGTGATCTGGCTGTGGTTTGACACAAGAGAGTCCCGGAACCCACACGGTGCTCCAAAAGGCTTAGGGGTGGCCCTATTTTCGCCCCCCCCACCATGGGGGCCCACCGTACTTGCCTCCGCCCCCCCCCCCGGGCGGAACTTAGACTATTTGGATTTTGGCCAAAGCAGTCTCCCCTTTCAGAGGGTCCTGGCTCAGGAGTGAGAGGGTAGGAGGCCGCCAGGCTCTTGGCAGTTGATCAGGGGCAGAGGGAAGACGCAAGAAAGGGTCCACTTGTTGGAACAAATACTTAGTAATGAAAGGAGGGCAGATGGCTAACGCTTTTCAAGAACTTCCAGCACAGCTATTCCGGGCAGCTTGGCGCTGACTCTGCTGGCCAGTACATTTGTTGCTGTCACCCAGGGTCCAAAGCCGGCATGGAAGACTGGGAGGGACAAGGCGTCTGGCTGGGAGCCCCTCCTTCCTCAGCCGGGCTCTTACCCCCTGCTCTTACCCCCTGCTCTCCGTGTCTCACCCACCCAGTCTGCTCCGCCCTGGAGATCTTAGCTGGGCCTGGCATCACTTGAGTTACCATGCCACGCTCATTGGGCACACACCCAGTACAGCCTCCGGCTGCCAGGTCTACCCTTCAGGGCTCGGACCATCGCTCCTAACCTTCTACCACCCCCCCACCCCCCCCCACCCCCGCAAGCCAGAACTCTACCAGGCCACCACACTCAGTGCCTTATTTTGTTTCTGTAACCCCCTCCCCTCTAAGCCTGAGCAGAAATTCCAGGTCCTGGCACTCTCCCTAGACCTCCCGCTCTGATCCAAGAGCACCTTCTGCTCCAAGTAGATCCTTTCCCAGATGTCCTAAGGACCCCCACAGACCTCCTACGCCCTGTCTTTCCTGAGGCCCCTTCTCTACTGCAGTCTCTCCCGTCGGCCCCGCTCAATCACCATATTCTCACTGCCACGTCCCCTGCCTCTGCACTCCCCTCTCTGTGTCCTGGTTCCACTCAGTCACTGCGGGGACCAAAACCGAGATTTCCCTCGCGGACTCATTGTGAGGGGGTAAAGCCAAAAAGTCATTCAGCCCCAACCAGGTGGGCACGGGGAGCAATTGATGCCCCTTCCCCAAAAATGAGCCCTGGCGCCTTACTTGTTCCTAGCCGTTTCTCCCGTTCTGATAGACATCCCCCATCATTCGGGCGGGCGTTCAGGCCACTGTCACCGACCCTAAGACCTGGTTCCAGGAACCCCCTAAGAGATGAGGATCGTTCCGGACGGGCCAGCTGTTTCACTTCACAGGCCAGCGCCGGGTCCTCGCCCCACGAGGGCTGTAACTCGAGCCGCTCGTCGCCAACCCCCCTCCCACTCCGCCCCAACTCTGCGGCCCAAGTCCCTGCGTCGCGCTGCCCCTTGAGGCCCTGATCCGACAGCAAGTGTGCCATGGGCTGCCCAGCCTGCGTCCATCTGGAGGTATCGGGTGCTGTACAACAGAGCCGCTGGTTCGGGGCTGTCCTGAGCGGGTTGTGCTTTCTCTCCGCGCTGGTGTTGCTGGAGTGGCCACCGGCGCCGGCAGAGACCGCCTGGAGTGCAGCGGTGAGCTGGTTCGCATCTGAGGGTCTGTCAATCAGTGGGCCCATCTGTAAGGGGGCGTGTGGGCCTGCGTGTGAGTCCTTAGTTCCAGGCATCCTCAATCAGTGTGTCCAGGGGTCGCTGGTGGGAGGCAGCGTCCGTCTCCAGCTCTGCTCACTCTCACTGGCTATTTATTTATTTATTTGAGACAGGGTTTCTTAGTGTAGATTTACTTGTGGAACTCGCTCTGTAGGCCAGGCTGGCCTCTGTAGACCACCTCCACCTCCAGAGATTAAAGGCACGCGCCACCAAGCCTGCCTCGTGTAGCTCTGAGCAACTCCCCCCTCTCCCCTTTTTTTTTCTTTTTGTTTTGGAGACAGGGTTTCTCTGTGTAGCCTTGGCTGTCCTGGAACTCGTTCCGTAGATTAGGCTGGCCTTGAACTCTCCTCTCTCAAAGCTTCCTGCACCAGGGTGGGGAGTAAAAGCAACTCATTAAGTGTGGGAAAGCGAAAAACCCCGAGGGTTCATTCGCAATTTCCCCCACTCCATTGCCTAACAAGCTAGCTCTCAGCAACTATTTTGGGAACCACAGACTCTTTCTCCTGCCTCCTCAAATCCACTTTTTTTCCCCGTGAAGAGAAATGTAGACGCACCAGACCCTTCAGGGGTCTCCACCGTCCAGGTCCCCAGCTCGTTGACCATACCGGTACCCCGAAGACGCCGGTACACGCTAACACCGGCCAGGCTGCGCTGGAACCACTTCAACCTCACCTACAGGTGTCACCCCGGGAAGGCGGGCGGGTGGTCAGGCCGTACCGCAGACACTGTCTCCTACACTAACTCTCAATACCCCACCCCCAGGATTCTCTCCTTTCCCCGGAACCTTTTAAACCCGGAGGAGACCAGGAAGGGCCTGGCTGCCGCCTTTCGCATGTGGAGTGAAGTTTCCCCGTTCCGCTTCCGTGAAGTGGCCCCCGAGCATCCCAGCGACCTCCAGATAGGTGGGCGGGTGACTGAAGCGCTCCTGCCCCGCCCCCGGTCCCCACAGGTGTGACCGCAGCCGTATCTTCCTAGGTTTCTACCCGGTCAACCACACCGACTGCTTGGTCTCTGCCCTACACCACTGCTTTGATGGCCCCACAGGTGAACTGGCCCACGCTTTCTTCCCACCCCACGGGGGCATCCACTTTGATGACAGCGAGTACTGGGTCTTGGGCCCCACGCGCTACAGCTGGAAGAAAGGTGATCCAACTCCTTGGTCTGGCCTCTTCCTGGGGCCCCAATCTCTTCACCATGTAGGCTACAGAGGGCTTTGGGGTAGGAAGGATTTCCTGGGGCTGAATATTTGAGAGGAATTCTGGTTCTCATAGGCCTGTCTCCTCCCCCCCCTCCATCCCCTCCCCCAAGCCGCTGGAGAGGGAGCTGGAGCTGCATTCCTGAGGGCCAAGCTCACAGCCTAGGCCGGGAACAAACTTATCTTCCTTGGCTGTGGGCTAAGGGTGACTTGCAGCTGGGCTTCCCCATCAGCGCTGGGCCTCCAAGAGCAAGACTGGGAGCGGAAGGGCTGAGGGCTCCCAAGCACTAACCATGGGGCCCACAGGCGTATGGCTCACAGACCTGGTGCATGTGGCGGCGCACGAGATTGGCCATGCGCTGGGACTGATGCACTCACAGCAAGAGCAGGCGCTCATGCACATCAACGCCACCTTGAGGGGCTGGAAGGCACTGTCCCAGGATGAGCTGTGGGGATTACACCGACTCTACGGTGGGTGCTTTGGGGCAGGTGGGTGTCAGATGGATGGGAGGGCTCTAGGCAAGCTCTTGAGCCATGCTGCCTTGCTCTCCGGTTAGGCTGCCTGGACCGGCTCTTTGGGTGTACATCCTGGGCACGAAAGGGATTCTGCGATACCCACCAGAGGCTCATGAAGAGGCTCTGCCCCAGAAGCTGTGACTTCTGCTACGGTGACGGAGGCTCAGATGGGGTTGGGTGGGAGTTCTCGTGAGCCTGGTTTGATGGGGTTAAACTGACGTGGCATTTCACCATTCTCTGAGCAGAATTCCCATTCCCCACTGTGGCCGCCACCACACCACCCACCAGAATGAAAACGAGATTGGTCAAAGAAGGCAGGAACATGACCTTCCACTGCGGGCAGAAGATCCTACGCAAGAAGGGCAAAGTATAGTGAGTGAACAGCACTGGGCAGGCATGTCCAGAGGGGCTTGGGGCTGCCTGGGGTGCCCCTGTGGGTATATCCTGGGGCCCTTGGCATGGGTAGGGATGCAGGAATCTCCCCCTGCAGCTGGTACAAGGACCAGGAGCCCCTGGAGTTCTCCTACCCCGGCTACCTGGCCCTGGGCGAGGCACAGCTGAGCATCATTGCCAACGCAGTCAACGAAGGCACCTACACGTGTGTGGTGCGCCGGCACCAGCGTGTGCTCACCACCTACTCCTGGCGCGTGCGACTGAGGAGCTGAGCCTGCTAACAGCCAGCAGATAAAGCACTTTCTCTCTGATGTCTCTTGTGCTGTTTCATTGGGAAGAGGGAAGGCTGGTCTCTGCCATCTGGATGTGGGGGTGCTGGGGTCAGTACTCACTTATTTCTGCTTTGCCAACCTGGCCCCTGGAGCAGTGGGGTAAAATGAAACCCAGGGGTCAGCAGCATCCCCTAGGGTGTGTGAGAGGGATGTGGGCCCTAGGTGAGGCTTCAGTGTGGAGAGGCTAAGGATCAGCGTGGACAGAGGTAGGGGCCCCAAACAGTCACAAGCACTTAGGGCCCAACTGGGAGCCAGCATGATGGGGGAAAAGAAGACATACAAAAGCTTCCTCCAAGAATAGTTTACTACTTAAAACATCTAACAACTGTGGCTAAAGTTGCCCCACACCTGGCTCTGAGAGCCAAAGGCTGAGTTACTCCAGCGAGATGCAGGCTGCCTCACGCATCACACACAAGCCACCAGCCTCCCAGACTGACAAGCAGACAACTCCAGCTCGCTCCAGACCGGGCCTCACTACGTGGAGGGGTGGGCCATCTACTCTGGCACCTCCAGATGCTCACCCTTTTTCACGAGGCAAGTTAGACAACTCTGAAAACTCTTTCCTTTCCAGAAGGAAAAATGTGATTTAATTCTACAAATTTTCAACCCACCCCAAAACAAACAACATAAAAAAAAAGAAAGTTGCCCTGATTCAGGTCTGCCTGTCACCAATCTAGCTGGCCAAGGTCAGTCAATCTGACCTCAGAACTTGAGACTGAAGCCAGGGCCAGCAGCTGAAGCTCCCTGGTTGGTGGTGGTGAGGTGGAAGCCCGTCTCCTTCAGGTCGTCATCACCCAGCTGGCTGTAGCCCAGGCCGCCCTCAGGGGGCCGTGGACTGGTGCCTCTCTTCACCCTCTGCTGCTCACTCTTGGCGGGCCATGTGGGGAACATGGACGGGTCAATGGGGAGGGGGGTCTCGCGGAAATACTCGTGTTTCAGGCCGTCTTCTGCACTGATCCTCCTCCCAGGGTAGTAGGTCAGGAACCTCAAGAGAACGACATAGGAGATCAGGGCACACACGGCCATCACAGACAGAGCCAAGCCTCTTGGTGGAAACTTGTGGGGCTAGGTTGAGAAGGAAGATGAGACCCACTGGGCCTCAGCGTCTCCTACAACCTGGTATTCTGGGGGCTTCCAGGCCCCATGGCAGTTCTGCAAGAGAAATCAGCCTGGAGCCCAGTGGCTGCCAACTATGCCACCCTCAGACTTACTTGTTCATGAGATCAAAGCCCTGATCTGATAACAAAGCTCCAAATCGCTTGCGGAGGTTGTTATAGGGATACTCGCTGAAGGTCATCTTCTTGACTGCTGGGAGGTCATTATAGCCTGGCCAGATTTTCTCGCTGGGAGTTCCCAGGTCCTGAAAAACAGGGATGTCTGAATTAGACATGCCCTTCATGGTGCCCACATGTCACTTCTTATCAGAGAGGCCACCAAAAGACCAGCGTGGCCGGGGTACCAATCCTGATCCCAGTTCTGCATACACACTGCAAGTCGTTCTCTAGAAAGACAGGCCATCCCTAACACTCACCTTGAAAACCTTGTTGATCTGGTCGATGTCTGACTTCCCAGGAAACAGAGGCTTCTGTGTCAGCAGCTCTCCAAAGATGCAGCCCACTGACCACATGTCCACAGCAGTAGAGTACTCCTAAAGCCCAGAGCACAGGGTTCAGACGCCTGAGGCTCAGGGTCAGCCACAGGCTTGCTCTCAGACCCCTTTTTAAACCCACCTTAGCACCGAGCAGCAGTTCTGGGGCGCGATACCACAGGGTGACGACCACTGGAGTGTAGGCCTTCAGGGGTGAGCCATACTCCCGAGCAAGCCCAAAGTCACCCACCTGTAACAGAGACAGGGCGGCCTGTAAGCCCTGTAGGACAGGACTCCAGGGGTGGGGTGGGGTGGGGGAAGTACGGGGCTCACCTTGAGAATGCCAGCATGGCTCAGCAGAAGGTTGGAGGTCTTAAGGTCACGGTGCAGGATCCAGTTGTCGTGGAGGTGTTTCACCCCACTCAGCAGTTGGATCATCAGGGTCTTCACCTCCCCTGTGGGAGTAATGAGGTCACACACATTCTTCCTTTGCCCCATGAGCTCCCAACACCCCTGTAAAAGGGCCCAGGTCTCAGGGTTATCTGTGTAGCCCAGCAGCAACTAGACTTCTGGGGGGACAGGTTCATCCCAGGAACACTCCCAGCCCAGGGAGACTCTGAGCTCATACAGACAGGATCACATGTGCTCTGTCCTTATGACTGTCCGGGGGGTGTGTAGCCATACCTGGCAGGAAGGGCTGCTTCATAGTTTCCATTAGGCTCTTGAGGTCATGTTCAACATAGTTCATCACGATGTAGATCTTGTCCATATTGCTTCCCACAACGATTTCCTAGGAATTAACAGTTGATCTATGGGTTCTGGGTGTGGTTTCTACCTCCACCCCCACCCTGGCAAACACTGATTCTGGACCTACTAAGACTTCTTGGGAAGCGGGTATCACTGGAGCTGCTAACACCTGATCCTACAATGCCGGAACCTTCTCCCTTGTCCCTTCAAGGGATAAACCTCCCACACAGGCAGGGTATGCCAAATGTGGAGACTGAGCCTCACTCTGACAGTGACGATATTGGGGTGCTGGGCCTTGAGGATGGTGTTGATCTCCCTCAGCGATGTGATTGGGAAGCCTTCCTTCTCCTTCTCCATCTTTAGCCGCTTCAGAGCCACGATTTCATCTGTAAAGAAAATTGTATAACCTGGGTATGGTGGCTCATGCTTGTAATCCCAACACTGGAGAAGCTGAGGTAGGAGGAATGCCACACATCTGAGGCCAGAGAGCGGAACAATGTCCCAAAAACCAAAACCAAACCAAAACACCAACATAGTTAGATGTAGTGACATATGCCTTCAATCTCAACATTTGAGAGTAGAGATAGATCTCAGTGATTCCAAGGTCAGTCTGATCTACATGGTGAGTTCCAGGGTTACATAGAAAGGGCTGCCTCAAACCAACCAACCAACCACGTAAATGCAAAATGAATTCAGGAACACATCAAAAAGATAATCCACCATGATCAAACTGGCTTTTTATCCAAATACGCAGGGATGGTTTGATATAAAATCAATAAATGTGATAAATTACATGGTTATCTTATAGATGCCAAGAAAGGCTTTTTGACAAAATCCAACATCTTTCATGTTAAAATTCCTGAAGGAACAAATCTCAATGTGGTAAAGGATAAATGTGCTACGTTTACAATTAACATTATATTAAATGGGAGAAACTCAAAAGCATTTCCAGGGCTTCGTTGGAGATGGCTCAGCAGTTAAGAGTACTTACCACCCTTGCCGAAACCCAGGTTTGATCCCAGTGCCAACATGGTCAATTACAGCCATCTTAACTGTATTTCCAGAGGACCTGATGTCCTCTTCTGGCCTGAGGCACCAGGCATACACATGGTATATAGATAGTCATGCAAGTAAAACACTTATACACATCAAAAAACAAACAAACAAACAAACAAACATTTCCACTGATATGAGGAACAATACAGGGAGCCCACCACTCTTATTCCATATAGTATCAGAAGCCTCTAAAAAAAAGAGAATATAAATTTACAGATGTTATGATTATAAATCAGCATTTTCTCAGTTAGTGATACAACCATATGTACCACCACCAGCTGTAGGGCACCCAAGCCCATTGTGGGTAGTGCCATCCCTGGGTTCTATAAGAAAGCAGGCTGAGCAAACTAGTACGCAGCACTCCTCCAAAGTCTCTCCAACAGTTCCTGTCCCGACTTCCAATAGTGATGGGTGACTGTTGGGGACACAAGGGCCCTGCAGCCATGTATTGCCAGGGAAACCAGGAACAAACACACAGCGGTGCCTTCTCAGTGAAGGAGGTAAGATACCCACATTCCATCCAGAAGGCAGAGAGCAGATTTTGCCAATAGCCTTGGTGACCTCCGCCAGCTCTAGAGGCAGACCTCACCCAACTTCCCAGAATGTTTACCCCAGACCCTCCCTCCCTAGACTGTTATCTTTAGCTCCCAGCTAAAGATACCAGAAAAACAATTCCATTCACAACACCTTTGACCCCAGTGCTTCTGGAGGCAGAGGCAGGTGGCTCTCTAGGAAATGGAGACAATCTGGACCACATAGTGAGGTCTAGGTCCCACAGAGGCCAGAGAGGACTGAATCCCTTGGCACTGGAATTGGACAGCTGAGAGCCACCACGTGAGTGCTGGGAATCAAACCAATCTTAACCACGGAACCATCTCCAGACCCCTTATCAGACAACCAACCAAGGGAGTCTCCCTGGCATGGCCTGGACGTGACCCGACTGTTATATCTACCAACGGGCCCTACGAAGGTGGACAGTGCTGCTCAGAGAAAACATGGGTTACGAAATGAAAATCAAGCGCTGGGCACAGGCATCTCCCTACAAGTTAGTGGTCATGTAGGCCTTAGGAGTCCCCAAACACAAGACAGACTATTGCTAATTCTCTTAGTTTCCCACCATAAAAAGATGGTGAGACCTTACTGCTGAATACAGCATACACTCTGAGTGCAGGACATCAAGACACCAGGCTGGAACTGACCAGGGAGGAAACTTTCAGTGTTGGGAGATGCTATGCAGGCTGCTGGAGAAGACACAGCACTCACTGGCTTCACCCGCCACAGTGCTGAACCCTGCATGCCATAACACCAACTTGCAGACGAAATGTGCCCACTGGAGCAAATAGAAACATAACTGTTAGGGATATCCAATGGATTTCGGCATAGATTTCTCCACAGAAGAAAATTTATACCCGATGCAGTAAATCTGCTCATGACTAGGAAAGGCATAAGCCCAAGAAGGGAAATTATTATTGTTGTTTTGCTAAATGTTCTCATTGTCAAACCGGTTGTCTTCCAAATATTTATTTTTATACTCATGAGTTAGTGCTGCTTTTAACCTTGGTCAGAGAAGTTTCTTCTGGCAGTGGTTGATGCAGAGACCCATAACTGCTCAGGCCTAAATGGGACACTTAGACCATCCTCAGTCCTGGGTTCCAGGAACATCATGAAGAGGAGGAAGAAAGAACGGAAGAGCTGAAGGAGGGAGAGTGCTGTAAAATGCCATCTTTAGACACAACAAGGCTCTGTGTTCATGAGCTCACAGCAGCTGGTTACCCACACAAGATCAAGCTAGTCACGATTTCAACATTTGGGAGGGCTCATGAGACCCCTCCCGAGTGGAAGAGCTATTACTGCCAGTTGATAGCACCTGGGTAGGGAGTTTCTTCCTAGGTGTGGTCTACGGTTGGCAGCTTGTGCTCCAGTGGATGGACCCCACCCAGGAACACGCTGGTAGCACTAACTAAACAGATTTAGTTAGGAAAATGGGGGTTGTGTGTGAGAATACGCTGGGGGCAGACATAATCAAGATATTTTACATACAATTGCAAAACTGTCAGAGGATAAATTTTAAAAAATCATGTACCCGGGTGGTGGTGGTGGTGCATGCCTTAATCCCAGCACTCTGGAGACAGAGGCATGAGGATCTCTGTGAGTTCAAGGCCAGCCTGATCTAGAACAGTTCGCTCCAAGACAGCAAGGGCTGTCACACAGAGAAACCCTGTCTCGAAAAAACAAACAAACAAACAAACAAACAAAACAAAAAGAAAAAACATCATATAAAGGAGCTGGAGCAATGGTGCAGCAGTAAAGGGAGTTTAGCTGCTGTTCTTCCGGCAGTGGTGGCGTAGGCCTTTAATCCCAGCACTCGGCTTCAAGAGCTAGTTCCTGGATAGGCCTTTAATCCCAGCACTCGGCTTCAGAGTTAGTTCCTGGCGTAGGCCTTTAATCCCAGCACTCGGCTTCAAGAGCTAGTTCCTGGATAGGCCTTTAATCCCAGCACTCGGCTTCAGAGTTAGTTCCTGGACAGGCCTTTAATCCCAGCACTCGGCTTCAGAGTTAGTTCCTGGACAGGCCTTTAATCCCAGCACTCGGCTTCAGAGTTAGTTCCTGGACAGGCCTTTAATCCCAGCACTCGGCTTCAGAGCTAGTTCCTGGACAGGCCTTTAATCCCAGCACTCGGCTTCAGAGCTAGTTCCTGGATAGGCCTTTAATCCCAGCACTCGGCTTCAGAGTTAGTTCCTGGACAGGCCTTTAATCCCAGCACTCGGCTTCAAGAGCTAGTTCCTGGATAGGCCTTTAATCCCAGCACTCGGCTTCAGAGTTAGTTCCTGGATAGGCCTTTAATCCCAGCACTCGGCTTCAGAGTTAGTTCCTGGACAGGCCTTTAATCCCAGCACTCGGCTTCAGAGTTAGTTCCTGGCGTAGGCCTTTAATCCCAGCACTCGGCTTCAGAGTGAGTTCCTGGATAGGCCTTTAATCCCAGCACTCGGCTTCAGAGTTAGTTCCTGGATAGGCCTTTAATCCCAGCACTCGGCTTCAGAGTTAGTTCCTGGACAGGCCTTTAATCCCAGCACTCGGCTTCAGAGTTAGTTCCTGGATAGGCCTTTAATCCCAGCACTCGGCTTCAGAGTGAGTTCCTGGATAGGCCTTTAATCCCAGCACTCGGCTTCAGAGTTAGTTCCTGGACAGGCCTTTAATCCCAGCACTCGGCTTCAGAGTTAGTTCCTGGCGTAGGCCTTTAATCCCAGCACTCGGCTTCAGAGCTAGTTCCTGGACAGGCCTTTAATCCCAGCACTCGGCTTCAGAGTTAGTTCCTGGCGTAGGCCTTTAATCCCAGCACTCGGCTTCAGAGTTAGTTCCTGGCGTAGGCCTTTAATCCCAGCACTCGGCTTCAGAGTGAGTTCCTGGATAGGCCTTTAATCCCAGCACTCGGCTTCAGAGTTAGTTCCTGGACAGGCCTTTAATCCCAGCACTCGGCTTCAGAGTTAGTTCCTGGACAGGCCTTTAATCCCAGCACTCGGCTTCAGAGTTAGTTCCTGGACAGGCCTTTAATCCCAGCACTCGGCTTCAGAGCTAGTTCCTGGACAGGCCTTTAATCCCAGCACTCGGCTTCAGAGTTAGTTCCTGGACAGGCCTTTAATCCCAGCACTCGGCTTCAGAGCTAGTTCCTGGACAGGCCTTTAATCCCAGCACTCGGCTTCAGAGTTAGTTCCTGGACAGGCCTTTAATCCCAGCACTCGGCTTCAGAGCTAGTTCCTGGACAGGCCTTTAATCCCAGCACTCGGCTTCAGAGTTAGTTCCTGGACAGGCCTTTAATCCCAGCACTCGGCTTCAGAGCTAGTTCCTGGACAGGCCTTTAATCCCAGCACTCGGCTTCAGAGTGAGTTCCTGGATAGGCCTTTAATCCCAGCACTCGGCTTCAAGAGCTAGTTCCTGGATAGGCCTTTAATCCCAGCACTCGGCTTCAGAGCTAGTTCCTGGATAGGCCTTTAATCCCAGCACTCGGCTTCAGAGTTAGTTCCTGGATAGGCCTTTAATCCCAGCACTCGGCTTCAGAGTTAGTTCCTGGATAGGCCTTTAATCCCAGCACTCGGCTTCAGAGTTAGTTCCTGGATAGGCCTTTAATCCCAGCACTCGGCTTCAGAGTGAGTTCCTGGATAGGCCTTTAATCCCAGCACTCGGCTTCAAGAGTGAGTTCCTGGATAGGCTCCAAAGCTACAAAGAAACCCTGTCTTGAAAAACAAAACAAAACAAAACAAATCCCAGCACTTAGGAGGCAGAGGCCCGTGGATCTCTGTAAGTTCAAGGCCAGCCTTGTCTACAGAGACCTAGTTCCAGGACAGACTCCAAAGTTAAGAGAAACTCTGTCTTGAAAAACCAAAACCACCACAAGTTCCGAGTCTTGTGTCTTAGCACCTGTGCTGAGTGGCTCACAGTTTCCTGTAACTGCACTTCTAAGGACCCCAATAACCGTTTGTGGCCTCTGTGGGCATCTGTACTAATGAGCACATGAAATCCCTCCTCCCCATGTATACACATAAATGTAATAAATCATGTAAGGGGCTGGAGAGATGGCTCAGAGGTTAAGAGCACTGGTTGCTCTTCTAGAAGTCCTGAGTTCAATTACCAGAACCACATGGTAGCTCACAGCCATTTATCAGATATGGTGCCCATATCTGGTGTACAGGTGTACAGGCAGGCAGAACACTGCATACATAATAAATAAATAAATAAATAAATCTTAAACAACAACAACAACAACAAAACCAACCAAACAAACAAAACCCCAAGCAGCTGAGAAAACAGCTCTAGGTATGTTGGCGTACACCCTTAATCTCAGCACTCAGGAAGACCCTGGAAGTTTAAAGCCAGCTTGGTCAAGGTAGAAAGTCCCAGGCCAACCATGAGTATTCAGGGAGACCCTGTCTCAAAAATAATAAGACAAGCCAGACATGGTGGTACATTATCTCTAATCCCACCACTTGGGAGGCAGGCAGATGAAGGCCACTCTGGTCTACACAGGGAGTCCCAGGCCAGCCAGAGATGGGCCTGGTGTCAGGTATGGAAGTGCAGAGAGGCCCGAGAACTGGCTCCAGCCAGAGTGGGCGGCTTCTAAGGGTCCAACGGAGCATGCGGATGTGAGTCCACGTCTAACAACCATGGGCTGGCACATGGCACAGCACACTGCAGGCCAGCTGCAGGACCAGGCAAGGCACTCAGCCTGCCTTCCTGAGTCTGCACGAAGACCAAGGAAGGCTCTCCAGGGGAACCACTGCCTGCTAGAACTCCCAAGACTGACCTTGTACCAACACAGGGACAACCAACTCAAGATTGACTCCTTGCCCCAGGGTAGGCCAGAGCTTTCTGCTGACTAGTCCCTGTCCCTTAATAGATAACCTACCTGTTTTCTTGTCCTTTGCTCTGTAGACTACTCCATAGGTGCCTTCTTCAATCCTGTTTAGGCACTGGAACTCCTCTACACTCCGGCACCCCTGTGGAGGAGGTAGGCATATTTGACAGCACTTTGTACATGACAGGTGTCCTGGAAAACTAGCCTAAGTAACTTCAGAAGAACCAAGTATGCATTGCTGGTGTGAATAGAAACAACTTGTTCTTTTCTCTGTTTCTTCCGAGACCACCCACCCACCACTTTTCTATTAATTGAACTGGCATGAACAGAAGCATCCTCTTCCTGGTGAACTATGCCACTCTACAGAGGGCATGGTCTGCTTGTGCCAACCTTCCATGCATGCCATGGACTGGAATACCACCACTCTGTGTGGTCTGTAGCTAGACTCAACTTTTTGGAAATGCTAACTCACTGGAGGGCAGGTGACAGGGCTCACGGCAGTGGTCAGGCACTCAGGATGACCACACCCTCTAAATTTTCCAGGCAGTGTCAAATACTCACTAGTTTTTTTCCTAAACAAAAATTTTCAGACCTATGTACTCAGGCTAAATCCCCTGCCCTATCTAGGGATCAAGCCAGGCATAAGGAAGGACCACGTCTGGAATCACGACTAGCCAGACTGTATGGAGAATGTCAGCATCTCAGGAGCCACATCAGCACCAAAAGCATCTTTCCCTTCTGTAGCACCTACTGCATCTGTAGATGGGAGAGGTGGGGCGGGGTCTGACCTGCAAGGCCGGCAGGTACTTGGGCAGCTCTTGTTTTAGTTCAATGGGCGACAGGGCTGGGGAGTCAGGCACGTAGTCTCCTTCCGTTGGGGCGCTGCTCTGTGGGGTCCCCTCGCCCACTTCTTCTTCCCCTTCTTCACTGTCCCCAGAATCTCTGTCAAATCGTGACTCTGGAACTTTAAGATTTAAATCTAATTACAGACCAAGAGAAAATAAGTGCAGCCATCCCTCCTCCTGCTCTGGGGCTAAGTGTTATAGGAGTGGCATGCCCTGTGTTCGAGGCCTGTAGCCCTCGTGATACAGGTAAAGTTGGAATCTGAGCCAGGACCAGATACTGGGCTCATATGGGATGAGGGCAGATGCCACACGAAGTGGGTAGACCCAGGACTCATGTCCCCCAAGCCACCAGACCCAGAAACTGCTCCCCAACACAACCTCATTCCCTCTGAGCACAAAATCCTGGGCTCCCTCGGCATCTAATCCACAGTGGGCACAGAGAAGGATGGCATACATATAAAGATGTTTCCTGTCAAGTAATGCCAGCCATGATGAGCACAGGCTGCAAAATGACCGAAGATGTGTCCCTGGGAGTCACACCATCTCTCAGATGGCACTGCCAGGACAGCAGCTCTCCAGTTTCCAGGGACAATGCTGAGTTCATGGGGTATTATGAGCTGTGGATGGTTTGTATTAACAGGGCCAGGTACTACCATAAGGAGCTCCTTACCAACCAAGATGTGGTTCTCATTTTCTCTGTCTTCGTCCTCACTCATTTCCTCCTCACTCACTTCTTCTGCAAAGGAGAACAGGCGTGTGCTCAGTCAGCACGGAGCTGAGAGCAGGACTGGGAACCGCAAGCTTGCCCTGTCTCAGGCCGACCTGATTGTCAGCAAGAGGTCTGGAAAACAGCAAGTGGTCTTACCTACCAATCTGGGGGGTTATTTTTCTGGTGGTATTGGGGATTGAACTCAGGGCCTCACACACACTAGGCAAGCACTTTACTATTGAGCCACATTTCCAGCCCCAATTCTGGAGTCAATGTGAATCTCACAAAGAAAGGCAACTTTATTTGCACACATGCTTACATTAATTAGACTTTAAATTATTTTTCTGCAGTACATAAACTGTACAGTGAGCATAAATTACTTTTACATCAATGCAACCCATATGACTTGCCAGGTACTCACCTGCAGACTGCTCTGAGGCTTCCTCAGAGTTGCTCCCAGTCTCCTCTTCCTCCTCCTCCTCATCTTCCTCCTCTTCTTCCTCTGATTCTTCACTGGTGCTCCCTTCTTCCTCTTCTTCCTCCTCCTCTTCCTCCTCCCCTTCCTCAGAACCTGAGCCTGATTCTGCTACAGAATGAAACAGTCACTAGGTGAATCTTGGTTTCCCCTGCAGCAGCATCAGAGCCTTAGCCAGGCAGCCCCAGGTACCTGATGACGATTCGGCTGAGCTGGTTTTCCTTTCGCTGTCGCTGATGTCCTGCAGGTCTGACAGAAGGTCTCGTTCTTCCATCTTCTCTTCTTTTACTTTGAAATAAATCACATACAGGTGATTTTGGAGAGATGATTGTTTCTTTCTAAAATTACTTCACTGATTATTATCTTGTGAGTATTTGCTGCATGTATGTACATCGTATGTGTGCTACTGGAGTCACTGGAACTGGAATTACAAATAGTTATGAGCTGCCATGTGAGTTCTGGGACAGAATTCAGGTCCTTAAAAGAGCAGCAAGTGTTTGTCGCTGCCAATTTAGCTCTCCAGTCCTAATTTTTTCTTTTTTGAGACAGTGTCTCATGTAACCCTGCGGTCTATAGCTTACTACGTAGCAGAGATGATATTAACTTCAGATCCTCCTGTTTCCATCTCATGAAGACTGGGAATATAGACCTACCATACTCTTTCTTATGTGGTGCTGGGAATCAAACACTGGGCAGGCAATCTACAAACTATGTATCCAGCCATGGGAAAATGTCCTTAAATAAACAAGACAGCACCACCCAAAAGTTAACACGCGGCTTATGCAATGATCAGCTTCACTGTGTATGGCAGAGAGTTCATCCACACATATTTTTTTTTAAAGATTTATTTATTTATTATGTATACAACATTCTGCCTCCATGTATGCCCACACGCCAGAGGAGGGCGCCAGATCTCATTACAGATGGTTGTGAGCCACCATGTGGTTGCTGGGAATTGAACTCATGACCTCTGGAAGAGCAGACGGTGCTCTAAACCACTGAGCCATCTCTCCAGCTCCCCATCCACACATATTTTAACTGGATGAACAACTTCCAAAAAGATTACAAACATGCATCTCAGTTAAGAATCACAAGCCCGGGGCTGGAGAGATGGCTCAGTGGTTAAGAGCACTGGCTGTTCTCCCAGAGGACTAGAGTTCAATTCCCAGCACCCACATGGCAGCTCACAACTATCTGTAACTCCAAGATCTGACACCCTCACGCAGGGTGTGCAGTCAAAATACCACTGAACATTTAAAAAAGAAAGAAACACATGCCTTCTTGGGAGAGTGTCTGGAGGTCAGAGGACACCTTGTGCAAGCGAGTTTTTCCTTCAGGCATTACAATTAGGTCAGCGCATTTGGTAAGAACTTTTACTTGCTGAGCCATCTTGCTGGCTCCCCGATACAAGATTTTATTGTGCAGAAGAAATCACTTGGCAAGGTTTTCCTTAATTTCATAAACTATTGCCCCTTCCATTTTTAAAATAAACTTTTAAGGGTTAGCATAGAATACAAAATAATAGGTTACATTACAGCATTTTCATATATATCATAATTACTAAAAAGGCAGAGTCGCATGTTCAAGTATGTCCCAGGAAAATGTTCATGCTTGCCTGGCCTCACCTGGCTTACGGTTGTCTCCCATCTCAAAGCGCTCCCGCGGTGGCCGCAGAGGGCTGCGGCTCCAGTGGCCAACCTTTCCCTTATCACTGTAGTCCTCCCTCATTGTGCGGTGGTGTGCAGAGACTGTACGCACAAACAGAACAGAGAGGTTGCTGGGAGCTGCCTTCCCAACATGGTTCTACCCTGTGCACAACTGCCGGGGTGTTACAAACCCACATAGCATTAAAAGCTTCAACATCACAGGCTAAAAACTCATTTGGAAAAAGCTCCAAGCTGGAGGTTACTGCCTTACCAGAGGACTTTCTAGAATGATCTTCACTAATCACTGAGGCCAAGGTGGGAAATAAGTCTAGAAATAAGTCTGGGACTGAAATGCCAGGCGTCACTCAGCATCAACTTGGCCTGGGTTACACAATTAGTGTGGAACTCTGGAATCAGCTGAGGGTCTTCAAGTTCCAGGGGAGGGTTGGATAACAAACTGGTTAATTCTGGTCAATTTAGCTGTTAGCACACCAGAAGCTGCCCACCCTCGTATTAAGGGCAATCAGTTATTCTGAGTTCCAGAGGAGTTTGCAGGTGAGAAGGGCTTATCCCCAACCATCAGAGACCTGTGCTATCGCTGCTGCTTGCAACCCCAGAGGGATAAAGTAGCCAAGCTTATCGAGACTGCACCTCACTCTAGTTAGGGTGTCTTTTAGAGAATATAAGGGCTAGAGCACCTATACCCACTTCCGTTTCTTCTTTTCCTCTCAGAAGCTAGATAATTAAGGATGCGGACATTAAAGCAATTATACACAGGGGAAGATAGAAAGTAATTACACATTCCCAGACAGGTAGACTTAGATTTGGCACAGGAGGATGTGCCAGGCCAACACAGCCCCAACACTCACAGAGTCACAGCACGCTCTGAGGAAGGGTCTGATCTCAGAATCATGACAAACATTCAAGCTAAAAAATAAACAAGACCTAACAGGGTGGCAAACGCCTTTAATCCCAGCACAAGGAGGCAGAGGCAGTGGCGGCTGAGGCAGAGGCAGAGGCAGAGATATCTCTGAGTTGGAAGCAAGCCTGTTGTACATAATGAGTTCCAGGACAGCAAGGACATAATGAGTTCCAGGACAAAGAGAACACGTCTAAGAAAAAAACAACCAACCACAATGCTGGATAGTTTTATGTCAACTTGACACAAGCTAAAGCCATCCAAAAGGAGAGAATCTCAATTAAGAACATGATTCCAGGGCTGGAGAGATGGCTCAGTGGTTAAGAGCACCGCCTGCTCTTCCAAAGGTCCTGAGTTCAATTCCCAGCAACCACATGGTGGCTCACAACCATCTGTAATGAGATCTGGCGCCCTCCTCTGGCGTGCGGGCATATATCGAGGCAGAATGTTGTATACATAATAAATAAATAAAATCTTAAAAAAAAAAAAAAAAAGAACATGATTCCAGCCGGGTGGTGGTGGTGCACACCTTTAATCCCAGCACTTGAGAGGCAGAGGCAGGCAGATCTCAGTGTGTTTGAGGCCAGCCTGGTCTACAGAGCTAGTTCCAGGACAGATTCTAAAGGTTACACAGAGGATTATGGAAACTGTTATATTAAACCAACCTATGTATTTTAAAAATGTTTTAACTTCACAATGGAAATCAATAAATATGATGCGTTGGAGAAGAGGTTATGCTTTTGTTTCCACAGAAAATGCAAGACTGTAGACTCGATTAACTCAAGGTTGATAATAGTGATCAGATTTGATGGGGGAGATCACCTGAAAATTCTAGCTACAGACATAAAAAAATAAACCTTAAAAAATTACAAGACAGGCATAAAACATCATCTTTGGCTGGCTTGTGTTCAACGCAAAGTTCACACTTGTGTTAATACAGATACGCATGTTACCTTTGAAAGTTTGTGTTTTAAGAGCAAGAGGACCAGACACCAATGAAAACAGGTGACCCAGGTGATCCAGCCCCTCAGGGTGCCTCTGTTACAGTTTCCTAAGAGTTCTGCACCCAGAACAGCTTCAAGGCTGCTTGCTGAGATAGATGGTCCAGCCTCACAGACTACTCCAGCTAGGACTTCAGATAAGCCTTGGATTAGCCCATCACACCGAAACTGGACAAGGCTAGCTTCTTCAGGCCTTGGCCATTATCTTAATTTTCTCAAGGTTCCCTAAAGATGTCATCGCCCCTAGCTTAGGAGAGGGGTTGGTCACAAGTTGAAACTAGTCATGATCAGAGGAAAAGCTAAACAAAGGAGATTAGATTCATGAAACTCTTTCTGAAAGGAAAAGGAAGATATAGCATATACAGTATAGATGGAATAAAATTTTTTTTAATATTTATTTATTTATTATGTATACAGTATACCATATTCTGTCTGTGTGTATGTCTGCAGACCAGAAGAGGGCAGCAGACCTCATTACAGATGGTTGTGAGCCACCACGTGGTTGCTGGGAATTGAACTCATGACCTTTGGAAGAGCAGGCAATGCTCTTAACCACTGAGCCATCTCTCCAGCCCCAGATGGAATAAAATTTTTGAATTTACTTTTGAACAACCACTAGTCTCAAATATTTTATATTGTTATGGAATTTTATTGATACAAATTAAAATTATTTTTCTTAATCTTGTTTAAGGTATTGTTCCTATACAGCTCATTTAACAATGCAATATAAATTTCAAGTTCTTGAAAGTGATTATTACAAACTATTTAGGATAATAAAGAAATGCAAGTTGGCAGTCACTATAACAATCAAATTTGTTGTCATGTGAAGTAAGTTTTCAAGGTCAAACAGATATTTTAGATAGACAGGTGGTCTTAAAACACTTCACAGATCTACAGAATGTGGTATATTAATAATAAGGCTTTGCAAGACAGTGAGACATCTATTTCTAGCAGCACCATTTTACTTCAAAAAAGGATGATGGGCATGGAAGAACCTCCATATGGAGTTTACTTTCTTTGTAAAAAAGCTAGCCACCAGGCAAGAAACTGACCGTGCCTTGACTGCTGACAGTGTGCTGTCTAAATCGGACAAATAGGACACAAAAGAAGGCGACTGCCAAAGTTTGCCAAGACAAGGTAGGACAGTCCTTGAAAATTCCTGCTTCACAGAAAAGTTTGTCAGATATTTTAGGCCTGTAGGCTGAAGACGGATGTTCCAGCATTGCAGAAGAACCTTGGGTGACTGTCCAGGCAGTTAGATGACTCTGTCATTTTTTTTTTTTTTTTGTTTTGGAAGTTGCTTCCTCTGCACTTCCTGTTTACTTTGGTAATATCATATCCTTCTCAAGTCTTTGATGGAGTTGAAGAGAGGTAGTTACAGTTTTCATTAGTTATGATAGAAGGTAAATTAGGTACAAAACTTTAGACTCACCAAGACAGCACTGATAATGGAGTATTTTCTCTGAATTTGCCAAATGCAAATGGACCGTATGCTGTAAATTTATTTCTTACCTGAGAATTGTTCTTATTGGATAGTTTTATTACATTAAAAAGAGTTAAAAGCCCTTTCTTTTTGAGTTAGACAAAAAGGGGGAAATGTTGCAAGATATTGGATTACACTGTGTAAAGTCACTGTGACTGGTTTAATAAAAAGCTAAATGGCCAATAGCTAGGCAGGAGGTATAGCAGGGACTTCTGAAGAGAGAGCTCTGGGAAGAAGAAAGGTGGAGTATTCGACAGCCAGAGAAGGAGAAAGACTATAAAAGCCATGTGTCATGCGGTAACACACAGATGAGTAGAAATGGGTTAATTTAAGTTATATGAGCTGGTGGGATAAGCCTAAGCTATAAGCTGAGCTTTTATAATTAAAAGTTAAGTCTCCATGAAGCTTTTTTGGGATCTGGTAATACAGACAAAGGTTCACTACAGGTGGTGCCATTTCCGGGCTGGTGATCCTGGGTGCCATGGAAAGTCAGCCACAAAGCAGCATTCCTCCATGGCGTTTGCATCAGCTCCCCAGCCAGGTTCCTGGCCTGTCTGAGTAACTGTCTGACTTCCTCTGACGATGAACTGTGATGTGGAAGTGTAACCCAAATAAACTCCTCCACAAGCTGCTTAGGTCATGGTGTTTCACCACAGCAATATTAACCCTAACCAAGACACCAACCAACCAACCAACCAAACAAACAAACAAAAGCAAACAACTTTTAGCACTTGAAAGGCAGAGGCAGATGGATCTCTGTGACTTGGAGACAAGCCTGGTCTATGTAGTGAATTCAGGGACAACTAAGGCTTTGAAGAGACCCTGCCTCACAAAACAAAACAAAACAAAAAACCCACACCCACAAGACATTCAAAGAAACAGCAAGGTTTGTCTCAAAGGAAAAACATTAACCACACCAACGTAAGCGAGATGGCAGATGCCAACAAAGAGAAGTCTGAAGATGACCTATAGGAATGACCTCAAAAAAATGGGAAAGAGATGTCACCAGTCTGCACCAGACCTTAAAGAAATTTTGTGGCTGGTGTCCACATAGTGGCACCGTGGCCCATATGTTTGAGCTCTCTGGCAAGGAACTTACCCACTGCACGGCCTGGGATAAGAAGTCCAAGGCACACGCTGCCAGATGACTGCCCCGGCATGGCTCAGAAGTATGAAGGAGCTGTGCTGCCCTCCCTATCATGATCTGGACCACAGGAAGAAAGGGGACTCCTGGACCATCGAGGTAAGAAGACAAAGCTAGACTGAGGGTACTGACCTACGTCTCTACTAGTAGTATAATAGGACTCCTTACATCACTGTTTACGATGAAAATGGCTTAATGGAAACAAACAAAAACCAAGACTTTAAGACAACTATTTTAAAGATATTCCAAGAACTAAAGATGTGGCAAAAACCAAGGACATGGTGCTATGAACATGAAAACACCAACAAACAAATAGGAAACCCAGGTGGGTTTACAGGTGATTCCCATAATCCTAGCCCATGGTAGCCTGGTGAAGAACGACTGTTGAGAGTCCAGTGTCGTAACAGGATACCCAGTGAGTGCTAGGCCATCTGGACTAATCTGAGACACTGGCTCAAAATGAATAAATAGATAAATCGATTTTAAAAAAAGGCCTTCTAAATAAAAGATTCCCAGTGAAAATATTTGGCCCACTATAGGGATCCAACAGCAAGCCTGGGTAGGCAGAAAACAGAGTCAGTGAATTGAAAGATATAGCAACGGAAACTATGAAACCTAAGAAACAGGAAAGGAAAACCATTAAAGAAAAATACCAAGACCAGAGAGGCCCTGAGATTACCGAGTCCAGTAAGGATTAGAGAGGAACAGAGGGCACCTAAGAAGGATCTGCTGAAGCACACATTGTCAGAAGACACGAACATCAGCATTCACGCTGCTCCACAGACTCCAAGCAGGATGAATTCAGAACCACATTGCATTTACTGTGTGTAATAAAACTGTTTTCTGGAGTAAGGTAGCCACTGTTTATAGCTCTGTTTGTTAGGCAATGCACTTTTAAAGGTGCTAGTTTAAACATACGAAGATGCATTTTTGTGACAGGAACAACTGGAAAGGTTTCAGAGAGATAAAAGCAACAGAATTTGCAAGTTAGTAAAGTGAAACTGGTATCAATTCAAATTTGTCATAACTTTAGAATATTGTATGTAACCTCATGGTAACCACACAAACTAACAAATAAAAACCAGATATAGACTATATACAAAACAAAATGAGAAATGAACTAAAATATTTGGTTTAAAAGTAGATAGATGGAACTGGAGAGTTGGCTCAGTGGGTAAGAGCACTTATTCTTGCAAACGACCCAGGTTCAAGTCCCAGGACCCACATGGAGGCTCTCACTCATCTCCTTAGGCACCACACAAACATGTGGTGCACAGACGGACATGTAGACAGAACACTCATACACATAAAATAAAAATAAAACAAAGAGAGAGAGTAATAGATTAATGATACAAATATGATAATAAAGCAAAAATGAGGGTAAAAATGTAATCAGATATGAAAAATATAAACAGCAAACGACAAACGCAAGCCTCCTTCCAGCTCTCTTTCAGAAGACACAAACTTGAGTTCTAGCACCGACGCAGAGACTCACAGCAATCTCTAACTCCAGGGCCAGGGGATCTGATGCCCTTTTCATGTCTCTAAGCACACCAGGCAAGCACGTTACACTGACATACATACAAGCAAAGCACTCATAAACACAGAATAAAAATAAATAAGCCTTCTTTAAAAGGGTAAAATAGACTATAAACATATATTGCCATGAAACTTAAAATGGGAAAAGGAAGGGTTTAGTAAAGCAAGCACAGGAGCCAAGAACTGCTTCTCTGCCTCCCTTCAAGGGTCCTTCCCAGGGCCCAGTCAAGGCTGTCACATCACAAGCACTGTCTATGGCAGCAGTCAACCCCCTCAGAGTAGTCCAAGAGGACCCACAGAGAAAGAGGGCAGTCCCTCCCACCTACCTTCCCTACGCGCTTCTCTCTCTTTGCGCCGCTCTTCTGCCCTCCGTTCCCGCTCCTTCTGTTCCCGCTGTTCCTTCTGTTGCTCCCTCATCTTGCGCTCCCGCTCCCTCTTCCTTTCTAACTGCTCCAGGCGGTCCCTGGAAAAAGCACACCAGGTCATCATGCTCCTAGCCCACAGGAATTTCTTTCTTAGGCCAGGTTGATTTCTGCTGAACTTATGTAGATATCTGCACACTGTAAAGCCATACATGGCTACTTAGGTGTCAAAACCATATGTGCACATCATCAAGTAGTTAGTTCCTGGTGAGCCACAGCAGAAGAAAAGCATAGGAGGAGGCTATCACCTGTCAGACCCCAAACACATCGGTCCTATTGCCTCAGTTGGCAGCTCTAGGAAAACACAGCACCCAGAGAACCTGGTTAGATCCTGCAGATCAGGAGTACACAAACAAGAGGTAGAGAGGCCTCTGGGATGGGGGAAAGGCAGCCATGGCCTAAAGACCTGAGTGTTGACAAATTCCTTCACTAAAGTCTGGGCAGATGAACCTTGGGCCACTTCCTGCCCCAGCTTGAGACAGCGAGGGCTTCAACAAGATGGAGACAGCGAAGGAGCTAGTTGCTTGAAAACAAGGCAGCTATCACCAGGACAGCAGAAAACTTACTAGGTACTGAAACACGTCCAAGTGGCTAAATCCACCATTTTTCATATTCCTATGAAAAAAGGATCTGCATTTCTGGAGTTTTATGTTTTAATTTCTTCTTTGATTTTAAACAGGTACACTTGATGTTATTTAAACTCATGGTCTGTCTGTTAGGGTTTCTCCAAGTCTCCTGGCCTGCCTTAAACTTTCAGCAATTTTTCTGCCTAAACCCCAAGAGCTGTGTTTACAAGGATACACTTCAATGCCTGGCTAGTCTTGCTATTTCTTGGGAAAGTAGGAGGCTGAGAGAGGGCCTCATAATGTAGCTCAGGCTGGTCTCAAATCACAAAGATCCACAAGCCTGAGTGACATATGCACAAACTCTGCTGTTGACCTTACATTCACCAATTCCAGTCTGAAGCTCATTCTGAGGGTCTTCCTTACTACTTCTTGCTGGCTATGAAGTCCACCAGGCCCAGTTACCATGGAACGTCTTCCCTTTCCCTTTTTCCCTTTCCTTTCCTTTCACTTTTGTAGAAAAGTTGTGCCAGACATAGACTTCCCAGCTGAGATTTTTGTTAAATGGTGTAGGGCTAACATTCTGACAGGAAGCGCAGATCTCTTTGGCAACTCTTGTGTTCACCCTGCTCGGGGCTTACCGAGTTATTTGGGTCTGGATATCTGGGTTTGAGAGCAAACAGAGGAAGTGCTCAACCACTATTCAGGAGCCCATCATTCTGCCTTTCCCTCCTCCTCGGACTTTTGTTACAAAAAGATGGTACCAAAGATGCTGTTCCACACACAGGGCACTGAGACTCCTCTCTCTTCAAAGAAGATTAACTCTCTTTTTTTTAAAAAAATATTTATTTATTTATTATATATACAATATTCTGTCTGTGTGCACGTCTGCAGGCCAGAAGAGGGCACCAGACCTCTTTACAGATGGTTGTGAGCCACCATGTGGTTGCCGGGAATTGAACTCAGGACCTTTGGAAGAGCAGGCAATGCTCTTAACCACTGAGCCATCTCTCCAGCCCAGAAGATTAACTCTTACTACTCTATTTTTTTTTTAATTTTTAAAAAAATTTTATTTAACTTTATTTTATATGCACTAACATCAGATCCTCTGGACCTGGAGTTACCTCAGACAGTTGTGAGCTGCCATTTGGGTGCTGAGAATTGAACCCAGGGCCTCTAGAAGAGCAGTCAGAGCACTTAACTGGTGGGCCATCTCGCCAACCCCTCCTACTGCTCTATTAAATACAGTCTGCATGTTTTAGCAAAGTTCCAGAATTCTCCAAGGCAAGTTCACCTCTGCAGTCCATGTGATTTTCTTTAAATGAATTTTATGTGCATGAATGTTTTATACACATGTATGTGTGCCATGTGCATGTGTATGCAGCCTGTGGAGATCAGAGAGGGTATCAAATCCTTTTGAATTATAGTTATAGGCAGCTGTGAGCCACCGTGTGTGCTGGGAAATGAACCCTGGTCCTTAACTGCTGGACAATCTGTCCAACCCTCTCACCCGCTTCATGTTTTGAAATAGGGTCTCAGAGACTGGAGAGAGAGAGAGTTCAGTGGTTAAGAACACTGGCAGCTCTTCCAGAGGTCCTGAGTTCAACTCCCAGCAACCACATGGTGGCTCACAACCATCTACAGTGGGGGTCTGATGCCCTCTTCTGACATAAAGTTGTATATGCAGATAGAATACTCATATACATAATATAAATACATCTAAAAAAGGAAAAAGAAAAGAAAGAAACAGCATGGATTCCAGACTGATTTCAAACTCTGAACTTAGGACCCTCTGATAGGTCAGTTTTTACTGCTCTCACCCCCAGTTCTCAGATTATCTTAATGGGTTTCTAAAGCACAATTATGGTGGCTCTTCTCAATTATAACTTCTCAATTAAAGCTGGCTTGGGAGACAAGGCAGGTAGACTTTGCTTAGTCTTATCCAGAAATATGTCCACGTTTTCTCCTATTTTCTTCTGCTTTACCTTACAAAAAACTACACAGATGCTCAAACTTCATTTACCAAGCTCTACTTCTATCCCAAGCCCCCACCGCTGGACAAGGCATCTTTAGTCTCTAGAAAATGAACAGTGGGTATAGGCTGTGAGTTTATATCCAGACTACTGGCTTCAGACTGACCGCTGAGCGTACCAAGTGCTTCAATGAGAACCAGCAATTTTTGTTCTTACCTATGCTGTGTGTTTAGTGCTACCTGCTGGGACAGTCAGTATCTCTTTAGGCCTTACTGTTAATAGGTCAGCTCCCAAACTTTTCTTGAACTCAGCCTTCCCTACTCCAGAGGATATACATGGAGCTAAACAGATACTGTTCCCAGGGTGTAAGCTGACCGAGAATTGCTGGAAAAATGTCCTTAGCCTGGTGTCCTAGTTCCTAGACTGTCAGGTCCTTGGGGAGCTCCTTTCTTATTTCTTAGTCCCTTTATGTTGGGAAGAACCAGGCTGTTTCCACTGTGATGCAGACAACCATAGCATCCACTCTAAACAATCTCCTTAGCTGCCCTAGGCTGCTCCTGCTTATTGAACAAATGATAAACCACATAACGGTTAGCTTTGAATGTTGACTTTTCACAGTGGAGAATCTTCTGAGAAAGACTCAGTGAAGGATTGTCTAGATTAGGGTGGGCTGTAGTTATATCTTCAGAGGATTATAATGAATTTTTTTGGTTTCTCAAGACAGGGTTCTCTACGTAGCCATGACCTACAGAACTTGCTCTGTAGACCAGGCTGGCCTAGAATTCGTAGAGATCTGCCTCCCTCCACATCCCGAGTGCTGGGACTAAAGGCGTGAATTGCTATCATCCAGATTTATAATGACTATGCCAGCCGAGGTAAGAAGACACACCTTCCCTAGGGAGAGTGGAGAAAGTAGGGCTAGAGAGATGGCTCACTGGTTAAGAATGCTTGCTGCTCTTGTAGAGGATCTGATACCTCTCATCTCTCAGGGAATCTGTGCTCACATACACAAACATACCTACATACATATACACATAATTAAACAAACAACAAACAAAGGAAAAAGCTTTAAAAAGACGATCTTTAAGAGTGAAGTAAGTAGCTAGACGGTGGTGGCACACACCTTTAAACCCAGCACTCGGGAGGCAGGGGCAGGTGAATCCCTGTGAGTTCGAGGCCAGCCTGGTCTACAAGAGCTAGTTCCAGGACAGCTAGGGCTGTTACACAAGGAAACCCTGTCTCCAAAAACAAAAACGTGGAGAAAGTGAGCTGAGCACTGCTGTGCTGGAATGACTTCACCGCCCTCTGCTCTTGGCTGTGGATGCAGTACTATGTCCAGTTGCTTCAGCTTCCAGCTGACTGCCCTGCAATGATGAACTGTAACCGGAAACTGTGGAACAATTAAGTCCCTTCTCCCTTAGAAAAGTTGCTTTTGTCTGAGTATTTTATTGTACAGAAGAGGAAACTAAGACAAACATGCACAGACACACCCCCTAAGCACTGACTGTGACAGGACTCAGATCATGAGTTTGCATGAGTTCCTCTAGGATGCTGCATCTACGGAGCCCTGGCTGGCTCAGAATTTGCTATGTAGACCAGGCTGGCCTCAAATTCAAAGAGGTCTGCCTGCCTCTGCAGTACTGGATTTAAGGTGTATACTACCATGCCAAGTCTCCACCTAACTTTACCAAAGCTTAAAAATAACCCACTACTGCTGGATGGTGATGGCTCACACTTTTAATTCTAGCATTCAGGAGGCGGAGACAGGAAGATCTGTTAGTTCGAGGCCAGCCTGGTCTACAGACAGAGTTCCAGAACAGTAACAGAGAAACTGAAAAGGTGTCAGACTCCAGGTTCTTTTTTGTTGTTGCTGTTTTGTTGGTTTTTTTTTTTTTGTTTGTTTTTTGAGACAGGTGTGTTGCCCTGGAACTTGATCTATATAGACTGGCTGTCCTTGAATTCAGAGACACAACTGATTGCATGTTCTTACAAAACAGAATCTGCCTCACTCCCCAATGTGATAGGGTCAGGGGTACTAGGAAACACCAGTTTCCCACAGTCCTCCCTTTCCAACTCCACCACTTCACATCTGGCTGAATTCTTCATCCTCATGCCTGAATTCCTACCTTGTCAGTTAATACTGTCACCTTGACAAGGTCTAAAATCTCTGAGTACTGCTGTAAGGGAGTTTCTAGACTGTATCAAGGTGAGAAGATCCATCTTCATGTGGGTATCACCATTTAATGGACTGGGGTTCCAGAATGAATAAAACGTAGAAAGAAATGAGTACTAACATTCATTATTTTGTTTCCTGACTGCAGACGCCACCCTGCCATGATGAACCGTACCCACAGCAAAGAGAAAAGTCAGAAATATAGACCTCAGCATTCCCTTGCGGTATCCTTCCCCAACTATTCACACTAAACCAGTCTCTCAGTCACCACAGACACTGTATTAAAGGTCCGTAAGGAGCAGGCCTCACCTTTCTCTCCTGGAATGTTCTCTTGCCATTTCCCTCCTCTTCTGTCTTTCCCATTCCCTGCGAGCTTTATCCTGTTCTTCTCGATGGCGTTTCCGACGTTCATGCTCTCGTTCTTTCTCTTTCACTCTGGCGTGCTTTCCTAATGAGATATGAGCATCATGCAAAGAAGCTCAATTATGCCAGGCAGGGGTGCAGCCTTTAATCCCAGCACTCAGGAGGCAGAGGCAGGCGGATCTCTGAGTTCAAGGCCAGCCTAGTCTACAAAAACGAGTTCCAGGACAGCCAGGGCTACACAGAGAAACTCTGTCTCAAAAAACAAAAAAAGAATGGAACTAGAGATGATGCCTGCTATTCTTCGCAAGGACCTATGACTGATTGATTCCATGTCAGGAAGCTCATGACGACCTGTAACTTCAGCTCCAAGGGATCCAATGTCCTCTTCTGACCTGCATATATACGGCATACATGGGTGCTTACATGAGCTTATGTGCACCACAAACATGCAGGTGTCCTTGGAAGGCCAAGCATATTGCATCCCTGGAAGTAGAGTTATAGGTGGTCATAGGCTGCCCAGTGGGGTACTGGGAACCAAATCCAGATCCTCTGCAAGAGAAGTAAGTGCTCTTAACACTGAGCTATCTTTCTCTCCAACCTTGATTTTCACCTTTCTTAGTGTTCTACCATGACATTTCGTAACTTAAAAAAATCATTATTCATATACAACACATAGCAAAGCTCTTTCTTTTAGTAGATTCTATAGTACTGCTGAGAACCCCTTGGAAATGGCTGTAACCCCGGAATCTAGGAGGCTGAAGGAGAAGAAGCCTGAGTGCTGGAAGGCAGCCCCCAAACAAACAAAAGCTCTTGGTATTGTCCTCTCAAGTCAAAGCTGTTAGTTGGACTTGACCCCAATACCTATTATTATTTTTTGGTGTTTTTCTTTCTGTACTTATTAAATGAGAGCAATTCTATACAACAGACAAATGACTTTAAAAAAAAAAAAACAGTAAAAGGGGAAAGAGTAAAACATACACATACCAACAGAAAAAGGAAAGAGTTATTCCAAAAAGTCAGCATTGAGTCTAGACTTCTGGCTAATACTCCATTCATCTTCACTGCAGACACACTCTGAAGAAGATGCACATGACAGAGGAAACGGAGCTGTGACTACCACATGAAGAAAGCACAGACTCCTACCTCCCTCGGCTGAATGGCTACGATGTCTACGCTTCTCTTTTCTCTTCTCGTCTTTTCTGTGATGGGCTTTTTCTTTCCGAGACATTTGCTGGGGTGGTTTAATGGCCAGAGAATCATCTTCCTCTCCTCTGAAACAGATGAGAGACACACCATGGTGGCAAGTGCAGAGAAGCAGTGTTCCTGATAGGATAACGTTCAACTCCAGCCGTCATTTAAGAAAAGCTAAAACTGAAGCTATTTTAAGATTCAGATGAAAAATATGAGAACCAGAGGTTGTCTGCAGAACAAAGATGCCTCTCTTTAGGGAGGTGTATGCTCACTTGTGCTTTTTCTTGATTGTGGTATAATGGTTTTATGGCTAAGCAAAAATGTGTCAACTCACACATTATATGCAATTCATGCAGTCATTTATACTTTAGTAAAACTGCTGAAGTCCTGCAGTCCCACCACCCGTAACCAAGTCAATGTTCATCCTCATTTATACATCAGTAAAACTGCTGAGGTCCTGCAGTCCCACCACAAATAACCAAGTCAATGTTCATCCTCATTTATACATCAGTAAAACTGCTGAGGTCCTGCAGTCCCACCACAAATAACCAAGTCAATGTTCATCCAACAGTGCCTTTAATTTTGTAACTCCAGGATCCTGGAAAATTTTACACTTTGAGCTTCTCAAAAGAGCCAGATTATTTTAACTTTTGATCATGCATGTTGGCTTGATACTAACCCCTCTGAATTCCACTTTTGGATTACTTACGATAAACATTTAAATGTATTATCTAAATCATTGACTGAAGAATACATGCTCATTTTGTGTTCATAATGCCACACAAAAGCAACATCACATGTGAGGTCAACTTCAAGTTAAAATACAAACTTTACAGAGACAAGCATAGTGGTGCACACCTTTTAATCCCAGCATTTGAGAGGCAGAGGTAGATGGATTTCTGAGTTCAAGGATCTATATAGTGAGCTCCAGGACAGCCAAGACTACGCAGAGATACCTGTCTCAAGTAAACACAAAAACCAAATATACAAAAATTCAAATTTTTATATTCATTTTTGAGTATGAATGTTTTCCTGCAAATATGTGTGTGCACTACATGTACCCATGGAAGTCAGAAGGGGGCATCAGATCTTTTAAAACCTGACTTACAGATAGTTGTTAGCCACCATGACCATATCGTGCTGAGAACCAAACCTGGGTCCACTGGAAGAGCAACAAGTGCTCTTAACCACTAAGCCGTCTCTCCAGTCCCCAGACTTTTCCAAAGTGATACTGAAACAGGCAGGCTAGGGGGCTCAGTGGTTAACAGCATTTGCTGTTCTTGAACAAGACTCAAGTTTAGTGCCCAGAACCCATACTGGGCATCTCACAACAACCTGTTACTTTTACATTTTATAGTTCTGCACGGACGTATTCAGGGATAATCTGGGGCCTGTGTGGTCCATGGGCTGCAGGTTAGGTTAAACATGCCTACTACAACACCTTACATGTTCTCACCTGTCTTCCATAGAATCCTCTCTTCTGTACGGTGAGTTCCTGATAGTGATTTCCATTCGGTGATCCCTCAGCTCCCCCTCCTCAAGGGAATCCCTTTTGGAATCCCGGTCATCAGACTAAGAAGCAAAGAAAAATGAATCATTAAGTCATTTTCCTTATAGATAACCTTCCTAACCTTTGAAAAATATCTTGTTATGTATCTCAGGCTGGCTTTGTTTTTTGTTTTTTTTTTTTTTTTTTTTTGTTGAACCAAGGTCTCAGGCTGGCTTTGAACTTGAAACCTTTTACCTCAGCTCCAAAATGCTCAAAATGCTGAGGTTACCTTACTACTAAACATATCTTTTTTTTTTTTTTGAGACAGGGTCTCACTATAATATAGCACTGACCTCCTGAGGTCCTGAGTGTCGGGATTAAAACTGAAGCTTGCTGAGTAACTTTAAATATACACGTTGCATGGTGACATTACAAAACACAAGGTAACTTTTGTTCAAATTTTATGTAATTAACATCACATTTTCTTTTTGTAACTCAAAACCAGAGAACAGAAAGTTAAAAACACTATATATGATAAGGGACATGAGACTGTGCCAAGAATATTACTTTTTTTTACAAGCCAAAATTAAGATCTAAGTTGGACTTAACACATCAAATACATCATACAAGATTCATATATACATTTCGAAATGATCACTCTCTAATTTTATCATAAGAAGTACTTATGTCCAATCGCCCCAAACTACGTTATCATAGTTCTGACTATGATATACTATGATATCTGACTATGTTATCATACAGCCACAAAAGCTACAAAATGATTCACTTTATTTGCAAGGCAGGATCCCACTATATTAAAAAATACTTGGCAATGGTGTTATGAATATACTAATTATGAGATGAGAAAAATTAGTCTGCTTGTAATAAAGATTCTAGGTTCAGAACATTTTATTTTTTAAGGAGAGATCCTCATTTAGATACAGCTTCGGGGGCTGGAGAGATGGCTCAGTGAATAAGAGCACTGGCTGCTCTTCCAGAGGACACAGGTTCAATTCCCAGCACCCACCTGTCTGTCACTCCAGTTCCAGGGCACCTGACACCTTCACACAGATAGACATGCAGGCAAAACACCAATGCACATAAAATTATGACAACAAAAGAACAAAAAGCCCAAAGAACTAGATACAGCTTCAGTGTGTTATCAATCTGGCTTGAGTGTCAACTGTGTATATGAATGTTTTTGTTAATTTTAGAATAGATTTTGGGCTCACCTGTGACATTTGGAAGTACAAAAGAACTTCACCGAAGAAGCGTTGTTCTAATGGAAAAATGAGGGCAAAGAAATTAAATCTCCTTTAAGAAAACCACTTACTTAAAAAACATAGCTTACATTTTTTAAGCGTTTTATCTCTGCTTTCTCCTCTTGTTCTTTCCTTCGTTTCTTTTCCTGGAGAATTTCATCTAATGTTTTCACTTTCCAAGAGTCCTTTTCATCACCCATTTGAGTTAAAACGCTGCAAAAAGAAAGATAATTCAAGCAACCTCGGGGCACAGAAATCTATGCTCTGTTGCTCTGTCTATTCTGAACACTTAGGGTTAATCATTAATGTTTCAGAATAAGTTCCGGAAGTCCAGGTAGGCAGGAGGATTCTGCCTTCTTTTTTTTTTTTTTTCTGTCATTCCTTTAAGGTTTTGGGCAACTCAGTTTTTACCTCGGTTCACTTTTCCGTAAAACGCAATCATCACCATCCACGAAATGGTACCGTTCCAGGATGAAAGACCATCCCGGTCAGAGCTCTTATCTCAGTGCCTTAGGTGTCAAAGGGCTGTGTGAGAACGTTCCAGGACGCGGGGGGCCTGGGTGACGGGTAAGATCAAGGGGGCCCGTCAAACCCTGGCCCCGGGGTGCGGTCCCGCAAACATGAGGCGGGGGCTGGCTCCGGGGCGGCCAGGGCCCGCCGCCTCCACGGCCCGCCGCCTCCGCGGCCCGTAGCTCCGCGGAGCGAGGCCGAAAGCGGCAGCACTGTGTCGCTAGCCCGATTCTTCGGGAGCACCGTCAACCCACGTCTGACCTCCCGCCGCCACTCACCCCTGCGCCGCCGTCGCCGCCGTCGCCGCCGCTGCCGCCGATCCCGGAGTCTGAGAAGAAACTGCGCCCGGCGCGCGTCAGGAACGTTGTCACTTCCTCCTCGGGCGCCCGCTGATGACGTGCATGGAGGCGGTCGGAAGTGACGCACACGGAGAAGCTCAGGGTCAGCGAGCTTCTGGCACCTCTCTTGAGTGTCACTAGTGGAGGGTGTGACTCGGGACGACCCGCCCTGGCCTTGTTTAGCTGTGTGGCTGCGGAGAAACAGAGCCAAGCCTCCCTCACCGCCACGACGGCCGGCAGGATTCGGTAGCATCGGCTACATGATCTTCCACAACCAGGCGTTTGTTAACTTACACGAGGCCTTTGGCTTGGGCCAAGCCGTGCCAGGTCACTAAAAGTGGAATCCCGTTAGAGGGTCAAACCATCAAATGGAAAAGTCTTTCCGTTCTACCCAGGATTCAGGAAGCCGAATTCCCAGGGCTAGTTACATGATGAGGAAGCCCCGCGTTCAAGAACACAACATTGAAACGAATCCAGTTTCCTCAGCCAACCTCTTCTGTGTGGGCCTACTGAAGTGACTGGGTGTTTATTTTCTCTGAGACGGGGTTCACTATGTAGACCTGGCCTCGAGCTTAGAGAGAGCCTCTTGTGTGTACCACCACCTGCTTTGTTTTTGTTTTCTGTTCATCCTAATTGCAGAACTACAAAGTTAAGATCTCCGAAATTGTAATTTTGTCTTGGTACGCTGAAGCAGGGCGGGTAGAGCTTGACAGTGAGATTTTAAAGCTGATACTATGGCAGTATTTCTCAGTGTGTTTAAACGAACTGGAGATCTTGAAGGAACCCTATGATTCCACAAAAAGTTATGAAACAGAGCAGAAATGAAAATTGCTTCTGCATGCCTTTGTCAGGCTATCTGTGGGTTTTGGGGGAAAAATAGCCAAGTATGGTGGTGGTGGTGCTCACCTTTCCTTCCAGCATTCTGGAAGCAAGCAGGCAGATCTGAGTTCGAGGCCAGCCCGGGCTGCACAGAGAAACCTTGTCTTGAACCTGCCCCCCTCCCCTGCAAAAGACAAAAATAAAACAAAATCTTACACAAAACAATTACACATTTCACATTTATTTTCTTTCACAAGAAAATTGGCAGCTTGGAAAGAAATGAGATGAGGAGGCTTTCACAATACCCATTTATTACATGACTCACAATACCCATTTATTACATAACTCATTGAATTACTTTACAGAACTCTAGGCATTAATCACTGAAATACTGAAATAGGTATAATATAAAACATTATACATTTTATGATGCATCTTAGTTCTCTAGTATTGTTTGGTGCAAAACAAATATGACTTGGCATTGTTGTAGATAATTACCAATATACTATCAAGGTTTTCTTTTTTTTTTTTTTTAAGGAGGGTGGTGGTGGTTTTGAGACAGGGTTTCTCTGTAGCTTTGGTGCCTGTCCTGGACTAGCTCTTGCAGACCAGGCTGGTCTCGAACTAAAAGAGATTCACCTGCCTCTGCCTCCCAAGTACTGGGATTAAAGTCAACATCACCCGGCTTGCTGCTGCTGCTTTTTTTTTTTTTTTTGATGTGGAACTTACAACCTTAAACTGTGGACTTTTCCAAAGTGACAATACTGCTTGAGCAAATACAAATTCACAGTTATCTCCAAGTCTAAACACTAGAAATTAATTTAATGCAGTTTGAGTCCCAGAAATGGAAACTAAAGACAATGGAAACAAACAAAAAAACCACACACACACTTGCCAAATGGATTGATTTCAAACTCAACTTGAACATGTGAGCAAGAGTCTAACAGTCACCTAACTCAGAATTAGAGCCCCCAAGGAAACTAAGAATGAAAACATTTGGGCGGTGGTGGTGCGCGCCTTTAATCCCAGCACTTGGGAGGCAGAGACAGGTGGATCTCTGTGAGTTCGAGGCCAGCCTGGTCTACAAGAGCTAGTTCCAAGACAGGCTCCAAAGCTACAGAGAATCCCTGTCTCGAAAAAACAAAAACAAAAAAAAGAATGAAAACATTCTTAGGAAACACCAAAGTTAAAAGCTACTACACTCTGAATTGTGGTTGGAACTGTCTGTCCACATTAGCATGATGTTTAGTTCATGGGGCGAGCCAAGACATTTATAAACTAAGAAAACAGTTGCGGGGGGGCGGGGGGCTTTATAGCTCAGAGAAGGGCAACAGCCTAGCATTCCCGAAGCCCTAAGCTCTAGCCCTAGCCCAAGAGAGAGAGAGAGAGAAAAGAGGAAAACGAAGAGATGAAAAGGCCTCCCCATAGTAGGCCATATATTTCTTTGTTGAGGGGAAAAAAATAGAAGAGAATTGAAAACGGCTGGTGACACCTGCTTGTAATCTCAGGACGAAGAAGACTGAAGGAGCCGGGCAGTGGTAACAGTGCACAGCTTTAATCCCAGCACTCCTGAGGCAGAGGCAGGCGGATCTCTGTGAATTTGAGGACAGCCTAGTCTACAGACTGAGTTCCAGGACAGGCTCCAAAGCTACAGAGAGGGAGGAGGAAGACTGAAGAAGGCTGCAGATCTCAAGGACAGTATGGCTCACGTAAGGACTCAAGGGAAAGAGAACAGGCATGGTTTTCCACCGTTAGGATCATCTTTGTTTACTCTTTTCCAGTGTTAGGAAATAAAATGCTTGCAGGAGACATCACTTGGACAGAAGTGAAGTGACCACGGAGGAGCTGGGTCACAGCCACGTATTTTGTAGTGATCTAAAGGCAGCAAGCAGTTTACGTGACTGATTCCCTTGTGCGTGTTTATTCTCTTTCATCTCCTCTGATTCATCATTTTTATTTTTGTCAAATTAGAAACATATTTTGGATTGCACAAGAGTACTCTCGACTTTCCAGGCAAACAGATTATAATGCTGGTATGTAAGAAATTACAAAGATCAGAAAAACAATTAAGTTTTTTTTTTTGAAACAGGATCCTAATATGTAGCCCAAGTTGGTCTTGGAATAACTGTATAGCCTAATGCCTCCACAGGACTATGATTACAGGTAAGTGCTACCATGCCCAACTTTAGACAAAAACCATCTACTGTGGTGGATGTTTTGGGGTCTCGTCTCCCTCTATCCCATGTGTGCTGGTCTCAATAAATGACACCAATGTATCACTAAGCTACATCCCAAAGTCATGGGAGTCTTTTTTAATGTACTCATTTTAAAATCATGTGTGTGTGCATACGTGTATGTATGTGTGTGTGTGTGTGAGTGCAGATGCCCACAGAAGCTAGAGGAATCAGAATCCCTAGAGCTGGAGTTACAGGCAGTTGTGAGGCACCCTACACGACTTCTGGAAACTGAGCATGGGTCCTCAGCAAGAGCACTACTTGTTCTTCCCCACCAAGTCTTCTCTACAGCCCCTAGAAGCGTTCTGAAATTAGAAATCTGTGTATCTCTTAACCATGTGTGTAGTGAGGAAGCAGATGGCTGGCTCAGAATGTCCATCCGGTGTTCTGTTACAGCAGACCAGACAAAGACATGGACTTAGGAAAAATTAATCCAAGATATTTCTACACGTACATCAGCAACAATTCTTGAAAAACACAGTATGATATAAAAGTACTGACAACGTTAATAAAAAAATATTGTGATGGTATGGTTATAACAAATGGCCAGGAGTCCTGGAAATGCTGGAAGAGGTGGCTGTGTGGCAAGGATGTGCATGGAATGTAGAGCCTGACAGGCCGTGATGCTGGCTCTAGCACAGACTCCATGGTCTTCCCGCCTGTGATGAGGACAGGCCGTGATGCTGGCTCTAGCACAGATGACATGGTCTTCCCGCCTGTGATGAGGACAGGCCATGATGCTGGCTCTAGCATAGATGACATGGTCTTCCCGCCTGTGATGAGGACAGGCCGTGATGCTGGCTCTAGCATAGATGACATGGTCTTCCTGTCTCAAAAGCAGCTTTTTAAGAAGTTGTTTTAAGAAAATCTTTGTTTTTGTTTCTAGTCCACAAACTTAGAATCAAAACAGGCGGAAAGGTTGGTGAAGTGGAGGAGTAGACAGAACAAGTTACGATGGGCCATTTCCTAATTCCACATGGGAATTCCAAGTGCTACTCAGAAACCAGGCATTTGGGGCTCTGATCTGTAAGAAGGCCAGAGGGATCTTCCAACCACTGCCCAAACACGTGTCCTGGTGTGTCAGCAGCTCCACAGCCAGGTTCTTGAGAGAGGCCTAATGTACAGATTAACCCAATATCCATCATCTGCCCTCCAATGGAAGTAGAAACCTGGGGAAAGTCAAATGAGAGAACCCTTCATAGTGGAGGTGACCTCAGCACAGGGAAGACACACCTAGCCTGTGTCCAGAACACAAGCACCTTCTCTGAAAAGGTGGATTATAGATTAAAAGGCCTCATTTTGATCCATCATCACAGCAAACTTTTTCAAGTACATAAAACTTAAGACATAATTATTGCTCTTTTTCAAATCAATCTGTCTCTTTGAGGGGCTATTTTCATATTTTCCAGGCAAGGAGCCAACTTGGAAATCAATGAATCAGCATGGGCCTTCAAGATGGACAGCAGGGAAAGTGAGACTTGGAACCGAAAGTGCCAGTGGCTAAAGCTCGTGAGTCTCGGAGTTTGGGTTACTGGAGAAGAGTCTTAAAGACTGGCTGGCCATGGACTGCACCCCACATCAGAACCCACAAACTGATGAATAAGTAAAACCTCAGCATCTCATGCCCAAGCCCCCACTATGGTCCTTCACTGCTCAGGCATCCTGAGCTCTGACACCAGTGACCCTGGGAGGAGGGACAGACTCTGGGCACCTGGTAGCTCAGGAAGTATCACATATGATCCCTGGGAAGAGCCAGCTGTGTGTGTAGACTTGGATTCACCTTACATGCAGACACTCCAGGAGCTTTGCTAAAATGAGTCACTGCACATGAAGCGTAACCTGTAAACACAGATGCTCTGCTAAACTTCCCTGTCATCATCCCGAAGGGGAATCTGGCAGGGTGGTCAACTATGCCTGCTTCACATTCAGTATACCCAGGACAGAGAAGAACTCCAGGGGGACCTGTTCTGATTAGAGATTTGCCCGAGTTGGAGAAATCACCAAACGGGTAGCAGAAACACAGGACAGCAAACCTGGAGTGGGGTAGCTCAGTGTAGCACAGGCCAAAAAGGGGAGACTTTCTCTTCATAGAAGCTCTACTCCTCCATGGAAGAAGACACTCGTCTCTGTTGTCAGTCATTCTGCATCCCCAGGGTTTTGTGGCTCTTTGCTAGAGTCACTGGCATCTGGAATTTCTGTTTCTTGTCTGTCAGGAACCAGGAGGCTTTGGTGTCTGTGGTGGTGGTGGTGGTCATAGGAAAGTTGAAGTCTCCTGGATGGCATCAAGCAGACAGCAACTCCTGTTGGTACTGGAACCTGTGCTTATTCCACAGTTGGCCCCACCGAGTCACTGGCGCACCTGCAGGCAGTGTGCCCAGTTAGCCATAGGCCATTTGCTCCCTCCTGCAGGGCTCTGTCAGGCAGAAGCTGATCCCCAAACTCCCCATCTGGTGTCCAGTGAGGAACAAAAGACCTGCCTGCAGAGTCTGCCTCTCTCTTCCAGCATACAGTGCAGGAGGACAGTCTAGGCTGGGTTTCCGGGCGTCACGGCATCAAAAGGAACTCAGTGGTGCTGTCTTGAGTCCTGGGGAACCAGAGGTTCTGTGTCATCCTCTGAGCCCCGGCTACTGGCTGTGGCCAGACTCTGCATGGTCTCCTGCTGATACTGCCTGGCCTTGTTGTAGAGCAAGACGCCCACTGTGACAAGGACGGTGCCAATGGCAGACAGGCTGGTGATTTTGTTGCCAAAAACGATGATGCTGAGCCAGATAGACAAGGCGTGCTTCACGGTGCTGGCGACACTATGGCAGTAGAGCAGAGCAAACAGTCAGGTGCTGGCTCACACCCACAGAGGCAAGCCTGCTGTGCTGTCAGCCCGGGGTCTTGGCCCCAAGGGGGACATGGATGAGGTTCCTAGCACTGAGGGGTTTTGTCTGCAACTTTGTTCTCAGGTTTACTCCTTTTTTTTTAAAAAAAAAAAGATTTATTTATTTCATGTATATGAGTGCTCTATCAGCATGTGCGCCTTTATGCCAGAAGAGGCCATCAGTTTCCACTATAGATGGCTGTGAGCCACCGTGTGTTTGGTGGGAATTGAACTCAGGACCTCTGAAAGAGCAGCTAGTGCTCTTAACTGCTGAGCCATCTCTCCAGCCCCCAGGTTTACTCTTTTTAAATGAAAAATCTCAAAACAGGGGCTGAAGAAACGACTCAGTGGCTAAGAGCAGAGCTACTCTTCCAAAGAACCCAGATGGTGGCTCACAGCTGTAACTCCAGTCCCAGGGAATCCGATGCCCTCTTCTGGCCTCCATGGGATACAAAGAACCCAGATGGTGGCTCACAGCTGTAACTCCAGTCCCAGGAAATCCGATGCCCTCTTCTGGCCTCCATGGGATACAAAGAACCCAGATGGTGGCTCACAACTGTCTGTAACTCCAGTCCCAGGGAATCCGATGCCCTCTTCTGGCCTCCATGGGATCCAAAGAACCCAGATGGTGGCTCACAGCTGTAACTCCAGTCCCAGGAAATCCGATGCCCTCTTCTGGCCTCCATGGGATACAAAGAACCCAGATGGTGGCTCACAGCTGTAACTCCAGTCCCAGGGAATCCGATGCCCTCTTCTGGCCTCCATGGGATACAAAGAACCCAGATGGTGGCTCACAACTGTCTGTAACTCCAGTCCCAGGGAATCCGATGCCCTCTTCTGGCCTCCATGGGATACAAGCATGCACATGATATACACACATACACTCAGACAAAATACCCATACATATTAGGTAAATAAACTTAAAGAAAACCATCAAAGTAGTGAAACACTGACGTAGTCCCAGCACCTGGACTTGAAGAACGGATTCTGCTGCATCTGCTTGAGCTTCCTCCCTTCCTTTGCAGCTCAAACCAACATCTAACTCTAAATAGACGAGGCTGATTCTGAACTACCAAGCCTACCTCTGCCTAAATTCTGGGATTATAACTCCATTATCACACCCAGTTTGTCCTTAGCAGTTTTGCCCTTTCTAAAATCATTTTATTTATTGTTTCACTTTCTGTTGTTTTGCCTGCATGTCTGTATATGCACCACGTATGTATTTGGTGCTCACAGAAGACAGAAGCGGGCCTTAGATACTCTGGAAATGGAGTTATGCATGGTTGTAAATCACCACGTGGGTGCTGGGACTCAAACCCAGGACTTCTGCAAGAGAAACAAGACCCTAGGCTGGCCTGAACCTGCAGTGGTCCTCCTGCATCAGCCTCCTGAATGCTGGAATTACAATGTGCTACAATGCCTGTCTCAGTAGTGATTTGAACTAAATGTTTATTTGATTCTGTGTGTGTTTATATGCATCGTGTATGTGCAGTGCCCACAGGTCAGAAGAGGTGTTAGATTCCCTAGAACTCGAGTTACAAATGGCTGTGAGCTGAATCCTGGTCCTCTTTCAAAGCAATAAACACATAGGGCTGGAGAGATGGCTCAACAGTTGAGAGCACTGGCTGCTCTTCCAGAGGACCTGAGTTCAATTCCCACCAAACACACGGTGGCTCAAAACCATCTGTAATGAGATATGGTGCCCTCTTCTGACCTGCAGACATACATGCAGACAGAATACTGTATACATAATAATAAATAAATATTAAAAAAAACAGCAGTAAACACTCTTAACTACTGAGCCAATTTCCAGCTCCTGGACTGAAATATTTTAAGGTCAGCTGGAGATACTGTGTCCTGGGGAGGTGGGGAGGGAGAGCTCTCACAGTGGATCCTACTCTTGCTTGTAACTATTCTTCTGAGTACTGTGCCACCACTCCCAGCAACACTGTGACATTTGCCCCTAAAATACCTCAGCTTGCTCTCTGTTAACAGAATGAGACAAACACCATGTGTACTGTCAAGAACTCTACAAACCTGAGGGAAAACCCTAAGATTAATTTGTTAAGTGAAACTGACCCCATGCACATATTAGGCCCCAGTAGAAACAGTTAATATGAAATACGTTAAAATGCCTGAACTTCTGTTCTGTTGGACTGGGATTATGAATAACTTAATTTTTATACTTTTCTGTCTTGTTGAAATTTTTAAATTTATTTAATATGCATTGTTGTTTTGCCTGTGTCTGTGTGAGGGTGTCAGATCCCCTGGAACTGGAAGTTACAGATAGTTGTGAGCTGCCATGTGGGTGCTGGGAATTGAACCCGGGTCCTCTGGAAGAGTAGTCAGTGCTATTAACCACTGAATCTTCTCTCCTTTTGACCTTTCTATGATGAGAACAATTAATTCTATGGGTTAAACATGCCTGGAGTAAACCACAGATAGAAATATTTGGGAAAAAACAGAGCCTATATTGAATGTGTATAGACTTTCTTCCTTGTTATTACTCCGTACATGTACAGTACGGCAAGCTGGGAGGTGGTGGTGCACACCTTTAAACCCAGCACTCAGGAGACAGAAGCAGGTCAATCTCTGTAAATTCAAGGCCATCCTGGTCTACATAGCTAGTTCCAGGACAGCTAGGCTTGTTTCACAGAGAAACCCTGTCTTTGGGGGGGTGGTACAGTTTAGCAATAATTTATACAGCACTTAGGACACAGCATCTTGTTAGTCCTAAGGTCTTAGAGGATGAATGCAGTTTCTCTGCAAATCCCTGGTAATTTAATATAAGGAATTTAAGATCTGTGGCTTTTGAATCAGATATGGTAGTACCTGGCTATGATTCCAGCATTTGGGAGATAGAGGATAAGGAGTTCAAGGTTTCCTTGCCTATATAGTGAGTTCCAGGTCAGTCTGGGCCATATATAAGAGCATCTCAAAAAGAAAAACCAACCTGTGAATCTCAGGAAAATTTCTGCAACAGCGACTTCCAGAAAAAAGTTCCCTGAAAATCTGCTTCACACAGTGATGGTCCAGTATCAAAGGAGGAGAACCTCACTCACCTGAAAGTCACAGGGGAGATCTTTCCCATCAGGGCGTATGCGGTGACACTCTGAAGGTGAAACAAGGCGCCGTCTGTCAGCAGCAGCAGCACGATGTCCTGGCTGTAGCTGAAGCTCTTCCCACTCCTGCCAATCACAGGGACATCCTATGGCCAAAACAAAAGGACGTTCTTCTGGCCTGTCGTCGCTGCTGAGAAGGTAAGGTACCACCGGTGCCAAGTAACTGAAAGTCAGTCACACTGGAGCTCTGAATGCCTGTCTGCTAGACAGCAGTGTGCACATTCATTAGGACTTTCAGTACAGACCAGGCATGCTACATGCCTACAATCCCAGCACTCAGGTAGAGACAGGAGGACTTGGACATTCAGAGAAAAACAGCAAATCTGAGGCCAACTTGGTTTACACGAGCTCTTATCTCAAAAGTGAGGGGGGTTATGTCGGAAAAATGCCTCAGTAAGTAAAGAGCTTGCAATACATGTAAGAAAACTCATGCCAGAGCTAGGTGGCGGTGGCGCACACCTTTAATCCCACCACTTGCCAGGCAGGCAGATCTCTGTGAGTTCAAAGCCAGTAGTCTGGTCTACTAAGAGAGTTCCAGGACAGCTAGGAGTTAGAGAAACCCTGTCTAGAAAAAGCAGTAACAAAAAAATCAAAACTAAAACCAAAAACTCAAGTTCAGATCCCCAAAACATATGTACAGCTAAAAATGGCAGTATAGTCTATAATCCCACTATTACACTACTATAAGTGGGAGCAGAGACAGGAGAATCCTCGGAAACTTGCAAGACAGCTAATTTGGCTTGCAAATAAGGGGAAAGCAAGGACCAGCTCCCAAAGCTGCCCCGTGTCCTCCATGTCCACACTTCAGGGAGACCGAGGCAAGAGGACTACCAAGAGTTCAAAGCCAGCCTGGGCTGCAGTGTGAGTTCTGGGCCAGCCTGGGCCTGCAATTTTAGCGTTTGGGAGATTGAGGCGAGGCCTACCAATAATGTGAGGACCAGCCTGGGATATATAATGTGTTCTAGGCCAGCCTGAGCTACAAAATGAGACCCTGTTGGTTTTTTTTTTTTTTTTTTTTTTTTAGTTTTTTGAGACAGGGTTTCTCTGTGGCTTTGGAGCCTGTACTGGAAGTAGCTCTATAGACCAGGCTGGTCTCGAACTCACAGAGATCCGCCTGCCTCTGCCTCCCAAGTGCTGAGATTAAAAGCGTGCGCCACCACCGCCCGGCTGAGTTTGTTTTTTTTAAATCAACAAAAACCCTCATTGGTAAGGATCTTAAGAACATGGAACTCCTGTGTGTGTATTTTGAAAACATAAAATGTTTCAACCAACCATTCCAGCTGCAAGACTATATTCCAAAGACACACCCCCATTTGCAAAGGGTGTTGTATATGGCACTGTGGGGCAAGGTAAAGCTATGACCCGCAGCATCATCAGTACAGACTTCCCAGTGTGACATGTCTTAAGGAGAAAGGTTTACACAGACACGCACTTCCGGAAACGGAGGGACTCCAGGAAATGGGCTGGGAGTAAATCTGCACCCACAAGCTCGCTACAGGGCAACTTAGACAAGGAAGCTAAGGGTAGGAGAGCCTCTCAGTTGGTTTCAAATATAAAACTGCTGACTTAGGTGGGAGTGGGAACAGAACCTTTAACACTAGCACTAAGAGGCTGAGGCAAGCATAGCTATGTCAGTTTGAGGCTAACCTGGTCTACATAGCAAGCTTCAGACCGCCAGGACTACATAATGAGACTCTGTCTCAAAAGAACAACAAAACTCTGTTTACTATTCTATAATGGGCAAAACCATTTCCATAATAAAAGGTAAGTTAAGCAAGCCTAAAAACCCTAACACAAAACTCAGATTTAGCCACCCACCCTTCTTCACCTGAACCCCAGTGTGGAGGGTGCCAGGCTGGAAACCTACCATGAAGAAGGCCCACGCTGGGATCAGCAAGGCCACAGCAGCAGCACTGGTGTAAAACTGCAGCTCCGGGGCCCTGGAGGGACAGGAAACACATGATCTTTCTCATGGGTCTGGGCTTCCACCCAGGCATTTTCAGCAAAGAAAACTCAAGAATCAGCAGTCAGAAATGTGTCTCCCACAATGTCAAGAATGTAAGGGTCCCCATGACCTGAGCTGGCTGTTTGGTAACCCGAGGAGTGAGCTAGGAAGCAGGTGGTTTTCTCTCAATTTTTCACCAAGAGCTGTCAAAGCCACTCAAACCAAATGAGTTCAGGCTCCCAGGGCTCATTCAGAGCTGTAAAATGACCAAAAGTCCTGCTGGGTCTTAAGAAATCACAGTCGGTGCTGGATGTGGTGGTGCAGACCTCTGATCCCAGCACTTGTGAGGCCTGCTCTGTACAGGGAATGCTAGGACAGCCAGGGCTACATAGACATGTTATCTCACCCCTGCCCCAATTACTGCTACCGCCACCACGCCAAAATTAGAAACTATAAATCCTCTTACAGATACTTACGAGAACCTGTATTTGTCCCCACTGAGAAGCTTTTTTGAAAAAACATTCTGCAAACTAGAACAAAGAGACATAAAACACTTAAGTCAGTCAGGAATAAGGTGAAGATCAACCACCCACTAAGGCCAACAGCCACAGGCACTTACGCGCCTGAAGCCAGTCCTGTACCAGGTGTGTCCAGTCATCACCACCCGGAGAAGTAGAAGTGTGCCTACTGTCCCTACAGACAAGTAAACAGCCTGAATGACTTGCCATCTCAAACATCAGAGCACCACGATGGTTTTGCTCTGCACGCTTTGAAAACCCCAACATGGGAAGCTCAGGCAGGAAGACTAGGAATTCAAAGTCATCTTCAGATACATAATGAGTTTGAAGCAAGCCTGATCTATGTGGAACCCTGTTTCAAAACCCCAAAAGAAGGGCTGGAGGGAAGGTTCAGTGATTAAGAGCAGTTCTTACAGGAGGACAAAGGTTTGGTTCTTAAAACTGACAGGGTGGCTTACAACCTTCCATAATTCAAGTTCCAGAGACTCCATCGTCCTTTCTGACTTCTGAAGGTTACTTGTGCACATGTGATGCACATACATACATGCAAACAAAACACTCATACATACATAATAAAAATAAATCTAGTTGGGTAGTGGTGGCGCATGTCTTTAACTCTAGTACTTGGCAAGAAGATGCAGACAGATCTCTGAGTTTGGTGCCAGTCTGGTCTACATAGTGAGCTCCAGGACAGCTGGGTCTACCAGAGAAACTCTGTCTCAAAACAAAACAAAAAACAAACAACAAAAAATTAAATCTAAGCCAGGAGTGGTGGCACACGCCCTTGGTGCCAGCACTCAGGAATCAGAGGCAAGCAGGCCTCTGAATTCAAGGATAGCCTGGTCTACATAGTGAGTTCTAGGACAGCCAGGGCTAAGTAGAGGGACCCTGCCTCAAACAACCAAAATCTAAAACCAACCAAAAGAAGCAAAGTAAGTAAGGAAACAAAGAAAACCAAAATAGCTCACTGGATGAAGTTCCATAAATTCAGTAGCCTTGGGTTCCAGGCAAAAGAGGGCCCCGTGGCATGTGTACGACTGAATAAAACTAGTCATGCATGCAAAACCCCAGTGGGATGGCTCAGTGGTTAAGAGCATTGCCTGCTCTTCCAAAGGTCCTGAGTTCAATTCCCGGCAACCACATGGTGGCTCACAACCATATGTAATGGGGTCTGGTGCCCTCTTCTGACCTGCAGACATACATGCAGACAGAATATTGTATACATAATAAATAAATAAATATTAAAAAAAAACAACCCAGTGGGAAAAATCAGATTTTAAAGCCAGAACTTAGAAACAGACACACCACAAGGGAAACATACAAACAGCCATTGGGAAAATAAAAAAATCCTGGCTTCAAAAGTGACCTCAGAGATAGAACTTGACATAGTGGGACATTGTTGCCTAGCTTCTTACTGGAGAAGGATTTTAACTTAAGTGTAGGAAAAGGTGATGCCAATCCGCACGGACAGAATAGTGACCAAGGACGCTGTCTCAAGCCACAAGACAGCAGGAATCAAGAGCATCTTCAGAAGTCCAGGACTCATCCAGTGGTTTGCCTTTTAGAAGCTTACCCTACAGGCAAAGATTACCGGCATGTGTGCCACCACACCAGTCTAGCTACCATTTTGATTATCACAATTATCCTTACCGTGTAACCATATCCCTCTAGTTGTATATTAGCAATTAGGACTACATATCAAATTCCAGCTTTGTTTGGAAAAAATGCTCTGGAACTTATTGTTGTACTTCTTGAGAAACAGGACAGTGGAGCCTGGCTCAGCTTGAATCTGAATACTCGTGGGCTCAGATGAGGCAAAACCAGCCCTTCTTAAGCAAGCTTCCTTCACCATCTCCCCTTGTGATCTTAACTCACCAATCCATAATGTTGGTGGATAATGCAGCTGAAAACCCCAGGATGTTGAAGCTTATCTCAGTGGCTGTGCACAATGCCAGTCCTCCCATGACTGGGATAAGGGACAAGTTGACCAACAGCCCTGGCAAGAACAAAACAGGAACGTGCGTAAGTGTGGGTGCGCACAGGCCACGACACACAAATGGAGGATAACCTGTGTAGACAACTCCCTCCTTCCACCATTAGGTCCTAAGGACTGAACTCAGCAGCTCCTTCACCCACTGCTCTAGATCCCGTCTCTAAAAACAAAACAAGCAGGACTAGAGAGACGGCTCAGGGGTTAAGAGCACTGGCTGCTCTGAAGGTCCTGAGTTCAGTTCCTGTACTCACATGATGGCGGCTCACAACCATCTGTAATGACATCTGGTGCCCTCTTTGGGCCTGCAGGCATAATGTATACATAATGAATAAATAAAAAAAAAAATTCACAGCAGGGTTTCTCTGTGTAGCTTTGAAGCTTGGCCTGGCACTAGCTCTGTAGCCCAGGCTGGCCTTGAATTCACAGAGATCCGCCTGCCTCTGCTTCCCTAGTGCTGGGATTAAAGGTGTACGCCACCACTGCCAGGAAATAAATAAATCTTAAAAAATAAAATTCTGTTCACTGCAATGAAAATCACATTTTCCACCTCTGTTAATCTTGGAAATGACAATACTTAACAGAACCTTTTCAATTTTACATAGAGGACTTATTTCAATTGTCACAGAAAATAAGGACATGTAGCTGAACAAGACCCAGCACGTAATGGGCAGCAGGTGACACCACAGATGAAAATAAAAGGTGCTGAGGCCCAGGCCAGGCTGAAGGGCAGGACCAGGAGAGCCCCTACCTGTGTACTCCCCCAGAATCATTCGAGACATGATCACAGTGAAAATGGGAGCTGAGCTCTTCACAGTCTCAGCGAAGGACACTGCCACATTCTTCAGGCTGACCAGCCCCAAAACCACCGTGGCAAACCTTAAAACAAGAGAAGAGCAACATGAGAAGGGACGTCTGCTTATAAAATAGACTCCAAGTGCTTAGCCACGACCAGTGGGCACATCCGGTCCCTCTTCCCAACAAGCAGGCCGAGCCCCAGGTGAGGGCAACCCTACTGCACTCCAGGATGCAAACACCTTCCAACCACTACTGAGTTACCTTTTTAAAAACATCTTATTTGAGACAGAGTCTCAGTATGTAGCTCTGGCTGTCCTGGAACTCACTATGTAACCAGACTGGTCAAATTCACAGAGACCCACCTGCCCCTGCCTCCCAAGGATGTGCACTGAATTACTTTTTAAGGCTGCCGTATAAAAGACTCAAGAGAGAATGAATGTGGCTCAAGGGCCACAAAACTGAAATCCAACTGATGGATATCCCACATGTGGACAGACCTGTAATTGTATCCTGTGCTAGAAACACACACTCAGACACACTAATCGCCAAGGCCTCCAATAGGGTTTCCACACTTACTAACTAGAAAGATACTTGTTTTTGGTTTTGTTTGTCAAGACGGAGTTTCTCTGTATCTCTGGCTGTCCTGGACTCTCTTTGTAGACCAGGCTGGCCTCAAACTCAGAGAGACCCACCTGCCCCTGCCTCCTGAGTGCTGGGATTAAAGTCATGAACCAACACTCTCAGATCGTAGAGGTGTTTTATATCTAAAGAAACCAGTAAGATGGCCAGCACATTGTACCTCATGAGGCCCACGAAGAGCATGGTCATGATGAAATTGGGTGGGTAAGAGAGCCGAGTTTTGTGTTGATACAAACAGCAAGGAACAAATATTTTAACGCATCCAATTAATGTCGTAGACAGCATCTGCACAGCACCTGTGGAGGGAGCATGGGGCGCACTGAGAACAGGCCTTTCCCACACGTGAGCACAGACATCACCCTTCACTCCAGGACATTTCTGAGTAAGCCCCTTTAGCTTTTCCCTCCCTCCTGGTGGCCTCTGGCCACTCAGCATTGGCTCAAACAGGAGAGCACACCGGGCAGGCAGCATTACCTAGCATGCTGGGCTCTCCCTCCCTCTACAACAGGAGAGCACACCGGGCAGGCAGCATTACCTAGCATGCTGGGCTCTCCCTCTAGCAGCGACAGGATGTACTTGTTGAGGAACAGCGTACAAAAGCTGAAGAAGAACCACAGCGTGAGGTAGATGAGAGCCCTTGAGCTCCACACACCCAAGTCCGACTCAATGACAGTGGTCTCTGTGATGGTGACGGTGAGCAGGCTCTCCTCTGGACTTCCATCACCTTTGGTAAAGACAATCTTCTCACTCCGGTGACCAAAGAGGGGGCCCCAAGTGGGAAGTGACTTTCCTCTCAGCTCCTCTTCGCAGCCAGCCACTGTCTCCTCTGGGGCTTGGGATTTTGCTGATGACATGCTGAGGGGACTTGTGGGAAGTGAACCTCAAGGATGGACCACATGGATCAAAGTGACTTCCCCAGCAGAGGGACACAGCTGGAGGAGCAGGCAGCGGTCCTGGTCTGCATGAATGTGGACCCCGACATGTCTGTTTCCGGCAAAGTGAGGACGCAAAGGCTGAAACGTTAGAAGAGAAGCTGCATTACTAACTTTGGACATCTCCTATTCTTCTGTAATTTGTGTATGATGCATGTGTGCACCTGAGTGTGTGAGGGAAGACACATACGTGGAGGTCAGAGAGCAACCTTGGGCCTGACTCGCACCTCGCTTGCGGTCCACTGCTGAGCTAGCTCTTCCACAAGCTGACAGGGCCCTCCTGTCACTCTTTCCTCTCGTCGTCCAAAGATTCTGTTCTAGTTTATCTTGCTGTATAAGGAAGTATAGCTGCCTGGACCCGAGACCCCACCAACCTCGGAAGGTGCCAGGCTGAGGCAGTCCCCTTACTCTTACCAGGCTGGTCCTTCCCTGATTGGCTCAGCTCAACCCAGACCTGGAGTTCCTTCTGCCCCTGGTCTCTAAGACAGTTTGCATCAGGTTTGTCCACACCTTCCACAGATAACCCTTGGTACTTTATCCAGAGTTTCTATCTGCTCACCACATTGAGTTTTTAATTCATGAAAGTCCTATTTGTTTCTGTTTCAAATTGGCCTGTCTTTCAATTCCTCTTTCATATCCTTTATGGTCACTGATGATTCATTATTCATAGACCGTGGCTACCTAGGCCCATTTTTTTCCTTGGTGGATGGATGAGTATGTCAGACAGCACCTCTACTTGTTGTGCTGGTTTAGGTTTTCCAAGGGCCAAGGACCAAGTCCATGCTACTTTCCAGACAACACTAGTCAAAGTCATCAAAGCTTGGCCCAAGGACATTCAGACGCGTGCTACAGTGTCTACAATGAGATGTCTACCACTCTTAAAGTCTCAAACAGCCAAACCATCCTGTTCTCCTGTGGAGGTTGGCATTCTCCTAGTTCTGGCTTTGAGCAGGGTCTTGTCTTTGACCTGCTTAATCTCATCAGAACTTCACTCCAGGCTGGGACATAGGCCTTTGGTAGAGTGCTTGCCCACCATTCACGAGGCCTGAGGTTTGAGCCTCAGCACTCAAACAATAAAAATTGAAGGTGCATACCTTTAATCCCAGCACTTGGGAGGCAAAGGCAGGCAAATCTCTGTGAGCTTGAGGCCTGCCTGGTCTAGAGCAAGTTCCAGGACAGGCTCCAAAGGTACACAGAGAAAATCTGTTTTGAAAAAGAAAAATTGAAAAACAATCAAAAACACTACCACGCAAGTAGCTTTAAAGAGCTGTTTGTTGCTTGGGCTTCCTGGTTTTGGCTTCTATGGTTTGGTGCACTGGCTGCTCTTCCACAGAACCTAGTCTAATTCCTAGTACCCTCCGTAACTCCAGTTTCAGGGCATCTTATGGCCTCCACAGGCACCAGGCATGTACGTGGTTCACATATATACATGAAGACAAAATACCCATACACATAAAAATTTTAAAAAGGGCACCTCTTTCCTATCCCTTTCTTTTTACGTTTAAGAGTGCTCTGCCTGCATGTTTGTGCACCATGTGTGTGGCTGGTGACTGCAGAGGTCAGTAGAGGGTGTATGATCACCTAGAACTGGAGTTACAGAGGGTTGTGAGTCACCATATAGGTGATGGGAGCCAAAGTCAGGACTTCTACAAGTGTCTCTCTACCCCATCCCTCTTTCTGAGGCACACTGCAGGTATTAGCTCCGGAGTGTGATCCAGCTTCATGTCCTTCTGGATATCATGGTTCCCACCTCTCTAGGACCCTTAGTTCATACTTCCATGTTTGCATGTGCCTGACTCATGTCAAATGATCTGTATGTATATCTGCCTGCCTGTGCTCACCGTATGTGCTTTGCTATCTGTAGTATAGAGGATGCCATACTCAGCTGGGCAGAGTCTGCAGCCCTGTCCTGTCCCGTCACCCTTCTCCACCCAGGGCTCTGCCAAGTCTCATCATTACCTTGGTGTCTCACCTGATCCTAGCAAGTATTCTTTCTCCCATCATGACCCCTCAGTACACAGGAGAAGCCCCTCAGTGTGTCCCAAACCACTATGGGGATGGCACTGTTCCTCAAGCTTCCTGGGTTCTGTTAAGCCAGACCTCTACCGAATGCTGTTTTCTTCTTCCTCACCATTGGCAATGTCACAGTTTGGCTCCAGTGACAATTTACTGGTAGCTGAACGTCCTAGACTCCAGGACTGGCCAGGCCCTGTGCTGGGATGGAAAGAGAATTCATATACTCCACCATCACCCTTTCCTGCCCAGGAGAGCAGTCAGACTGAAAGTAGAGTGGCCCGATATCTCCAGCAGTAAAGTATGAGAACCTCAAAGAAAAGTTCAAGTTTCAGATCATGTTTCATGCTCTTTGATGATTCAAGGGCAACCAAGCAAGGAACCACTGAGAGAAGCCACTCCCACAGCGACACCAATGGATTTTGTTCACTCCACTGATCAGAGAACATTTTGACAGTGCAAATGCAAACAGACCCCAGACATGGCCTTCCAAGAGTCAGGGCCAGCAGGAATGAGGTGCAAGTCTGTAACCCCAGCACCGGGAGCTTGGGAAGTGTAGTGACCTGTTTCAATTCTCCCACCCCTCCTCCAGCACACAGTCTTTGTGACGGTTGGTCTTTTGACAAACTACCCACTCTGCCCACCTGACCAGGCACTGCGAGGAAGGCTAGCACAGGTCACAGAAACCCCACAGGCCTTGGCCAACATAAACCCATGAGATTTACCAGGCAGCCACTTTTCCAATTTTTAAAATTACATTTGTCTACATAGTTTTTGTAAGCAGGCGTGGGTTCATGTGTACATAGCATGTCTGTGGAGGTTGAAGGAGTTGGTTCTCACCTTCTCGTATGTAGGCCTAAGGGATCAAGGTGGGTTTGTCAGGCTTGAGGGTGGGTGTCCAAGTTTGAACAGAATCTACAGAGACCGAGACCTGGGTAACTAGGCATGAAGAAGAGAAAATGCAGGTTTGGATCTATACCCCATGATTGGCTTTTGAAAAGCCACTTCTCACTGTGGACCTAGAATAAGGCAGTTTCTTATTTACTTTTCTTGCATAGCTGCAGATTCCTTAGAGTGAGACAACTGTGATGCCCACCTTTAAACTCTCTAGTTCTCTTCAGGGCATATGCTCTTCCTGGAACTCACTTTGCAGACAAGGCTGGCCTCGAACTCACAGAGATCCAGCTGCTTCTGCCTCCCGAGCGCTGGGATTAAAGGCGTGCACCACCACCGGGCCCTCACTGGTTAATAAAGAGCTGACTAATAGCTAGGCAGGATTTTCGGGGAAGAAAGGAGGCTGGGAAGAAAAAAGCCGGAGTCACCAGGAGATTCAAAGAAAAGTGATATGAAATAGCAGTGCTGAAAAAAGGTACTAAGCCAAGACATAGTATATAGATAAGAAATATGGTTTAAGTTGTAAGAGCAAGTTAGTAACAAGCATAAGAGTCATCTAAGTCTTTTGACATCAGACATGACCAACAGGAGTTGGAGCTTACCATGCGAGTTTTTGTTTTGGTCCAGGATTTCCTCACTGTGTCCCCCTTCCTCCCGTTTGGAATAGTGATGTATATTCTGTGTCATTTTATGTTAGAAGTATATAATTTTATTTTTACTTTAAAGGGGATTACAGTTAAGAAGGTGGATTTTGTGAGCTCGCGACCAGCCTGGTCTACAAATCAAGTACCAGGACAGTCACGGCTGTTACACAGAGAAATCCTGTCTCGAGAAATTAAAAAGTCTTGACTGAAAGACTGTGGGGACTCTTGAAGTTGGTCTGAATGCATTTTGCATTATGATATGACTGTCAACTTCTTGAGGCCAGGGAGTGGAGTCTGACTGTTTGAATGAGAACAGCCCCCATCAGCTCATATATTTAAGAATGCTTGGTCTCCAGTTGGTAAAACTGTTTGGTAAGGATTAGGAGGTGTGACCTTATAGGAGGAAGTGTGGGGAGGGTGAGGTTTCAAAAGTCCACACGAATTCCAGTTAGTGTACACACTCACTCTTTGCGCCTTGTGGTTGTTATCATGTAAGCTCTTAGAGACTGTTCCAGCACCGTGACTGTCTGCCTGCGGCCATGCTCCCCATGATGGTCAGGAACTCACCCTCTGAAATTTTACACAAGCCAAAAACGTATCTCTTTTTTTTTAAATTTTTATAAGTTACTTTGGTCATTATAGCAATAGAAAAGTAACCAAGGCACATAACTCCACATAACTTAAAAATAATAAAGAAAAAGTTTCAGCCACGGTGGTTACACACTGTTGTAGAATATTCCTTTACACTGTGTGAAGATATTCCACTGGAACTGTTTCAATAAAACGCTAAACGGCCAACACTAGGCAGGATTTGGGGGGCAGCCAAAACACTGGGATGAAGTTGAAGTCACCAGCCAAAGAGACGGTTCAGCAGGTAAGAATATTGCCTGTTCTTCCAAAAGACCCAGGCTCAATTCCTAGCAACCACAGCAGCTCACAGCCATCTGTAACTATAGTTTCAGGGGATTGCATACTCTCCTCCAGCCCCTGTGGGCACCAGGCACTCAAGCAGTACACAGACATAAATGCGGGCAAAACACCTACACACATTTAAAAAAAAAATAAAAGTAATCACACGATGATATTAAGAGAAGAAACTTCTGAGCATTACCTATGTCAGGCTGAGGACTGAAAGGGCTCTGAACAACACTGAGCACCAAGAACAGTCCTGTTTGACAGTACCAGGACAGCCATGGCAACACACAGAGAAACCCAGACAATAGACAATGGACACCAGATTCAGAAGTAAGGACAGTTGTCAGATGCAGGCAGCACTCTGGCTACTGCCTAGCTCACTGCTCCCACGCAGCGCTGAATTAAAGGGATCATTTGGTGTTGGAGAAATGGCTCAGTGGTTAAGAGCACGGGCTGATCTTCTAGAGGACCCAGGTTTGCTTCCCAGCAACCACATGGTGGCATATAACCATCTGTAACTCCAGTTTCAGGGGATCCAATGCCCTCTTGTCTCAGAGGGCAACAGGCATACACAGGGTTCAGAAATAAACACTGGAAGCAAACATTCATACATATAAAATAAAATTTTTAAAAAATCAGAGATTATTTGTTGGTTACTATAATACCACATGGACAAGCTCCTGGAGAAGTAGGAAAGACCTTTGGGGGCAGAGTCTGACTCTACAGATCAACCAAGGGCTACACAGCTCTAGTCAGGCAGAGTCCGACTCTCCCAGTCCCGGTCCAGTTCTGCCTTCCCAATCCACAATCCACGAAAATTACAAAGATAAGAAAGACTTTGGCCTGCAAAAGCTGAAGGTCAGCAGAGATCTGGCAACAAGCTGCTTGCATAAGAACTGGTGGTTGATTTTACCTGCGTGGGCCTGGGAGACAGTTACGCAGCTGCTCAACTTGATCTTGAGGTATGTAGAACGAGCCACCCAACCCTATCATTGGCTGTAAAGTCTGAGTCACCATGACCCTCTCAGATTAAATGTACTTCTAGGAACAGATAAGAACCAAGATGTAACTTCCCTTCCTCTGGATTATTAAGACTCTCTTGCTGGCCAGGCCGTGAAGGCGCACACCTTTCACTCAAGAGTCAGACGCAGGCAGATCTATGTGTTTGAGGCCATCCTGGGCTTCAGAGTGCATGCCAGGCCAGCCAGGGCTGTATAAAGAAACCCTGTCTGTTCCAAACAAACAAAAGACTCCCTTGCTGACAAGACCTGACTTGTGAGCTTTTACTCTAGTCCGTCAAAGACGTGCGTACAAGCCGGGCGGTGGTGGCGCACGCCTTTAATCCCAGCACTTGGGAGGCAGAGGCAGGCGGATCTCTGTGAGTTCGAGACCAGCCTGGTCTACAAGAGCTAGTTCCAGGACAGGCTCCAAAACCACAGAGAAACCCTGTCTCAAAAAACCAAAAAAAAAAAAAAAAAAAAAAAGATGTGCGTACAGAGCTCAAAGGAAAATGAGCCACACAGTGCTCTAGACCAACAGCAAAGACATGACATTAAAGCTACAAGAACCAACAGCTGCTTGCCTGGGATTAGCAGGCAGTGGTAATCTAGTGAGATTATCTTTTTTTTTTTTTTTTGAGACAGGCTGGCCCTGAAGGTGTGGGTTCTCTTGTACCAACCTCCAGAATGCTGGAATCACAGGCACTCCACCATGCCCGGTCAAGATACCATTTTTACACCATTCAATGCTTACTTTTTCCATTTTCTAGTTCCATGAATCTCAGGTTAAGAATGTCTATTTTTGGCCTCCATTCAGGGTGCTTCCAGCGGAGTGGAGGAACACAGAACCTCCAAGTGTAGCCTCCAACCATAGCCTCTCTGCAAGCCAAGGATGCATATCTGCAGGATTGGGCCAAGATCTGCGCACAGCCTGGCCCCAAGTGGCAGGGGAGCAAGTGGGCTGTCAGAACAAAACACTTGGAAGCTGCCGGGCCCCCAAAAAAGAAAAGGAAAAAAACACAAAAGAAATCTCGGGAACAGGACCAGAAAGCTACAGAGCACAAGACTAAGCCCCCAGGGAAGATGGCTCCCACCTCTTCTAGGGCTAAGAAATCCAAGAACTCCAGCTCCCTGGAGTCCCCTGAAGATGGCCAAGTCACAGCACCTGATTCTGTCTTTGCACTGGATTTCCTGAGACAGCAGCTGCCCGGGACCAGGGTAGCACTAAGGAGCTGTCTGCTGCCTCTCTAGAGAAAAGACAGCGGAGGAAACAGGAGAGGGAACGGAAGAAGAGGAAGCAGAAGGAGCTTCGAGCAAAGGAGGAGCCAGCTGAGGCCCCCCAGATGTGGCATGCCAGCCGAGGCACCCCAGATGTGGCCTGCAAGGAGCTGCGAGAGTCAGAGCTTATCTTTAATAAGGTGGAAGTGACTGAAGAGGAGCCTGCCAGCAAGCCCCAGAGGAAGGAGAAGTGGCAGAAGGTGAAAGGAAGCCAGACACCACTGACGGGCAGGAACTACAGGCAGCTGCTGTCTGCAGGCGCAGCATGGCCGGCTGGAGGAGCTGCGAGACCAGGATGCAGGCAAGGTCCAAGAACTGAAGGCCAAGATGAAGTGGACCAACCTGCAGTACAAGGCGGAGGGTGTGAAGATCTGTGACAATGAGCACCTGCTGCAGGAAGCCTTGCAAGGTAGAGCGCTGTGCTGGCGGAAGAAGCGCTCAGAACACTTGGTAGAGAAGACACAGCAGCGTCAGGACAAGCGGTGCCAGAACCTGCGCAAGAAGGCCATGAAGGCCGAGCGGCGGCTGCAGAAGGCTCACAAGAAGGGCCAGGAGCCGCCACAGGACCTGGAGTGAGCAGGCCTCTCCTGAGCAGCTTGCAGCTCCAACATTCCTGGCCAGACACCTAGGTGACAGACTGTGGGTCTCCTATGTGAGACTGACATGTTCTTGCAACACATAGCCACAGTGAGGGCTCCAACAGTGTGCCAAGAGGATGTCTGGCCATCATCCTTAAGTAGGAGAGTGTCCTCCAGTCCCTGGGAGGGATGAAGAGGATCTGTGCCCAAGTCTTGTGAGCGTGTGTGTGTGTGTGCACGCCCGCATGTCTGTCTGTGTCTGTCTGTGTGTATTCGTGTTTCTGAAGGCTCCAGAATCAGGGCAGAAGTTGAAGTGGAGGTGCCCACCTGACCTCTTCTTACCCACCTGTATTTCCGGTGACCATGGGAACAAAAGGCCTTGACTACTGCTTCTGTGCTCACAAGTCTCTGGCAACAGACAAGAGCCCACTGGAGTTCTCGGGGGAATCTGATCCAGTTAGGTCTATCTCTGGGCCAGAGCTACAAAGCCCAGAGTCTTTCTGGGATCCACAGGATGGGCCTTGGGTAACATGGCCTCCTGTGAGCCAATTGGTATCAGCGCTTGGGAAGGAGTGGTCAGTTTAACATAAGCTAGAGTTATCTGAGAAGAGGAGCCTCACTGAGGAAGGAGACAACCTTGCCCGTGGGCAAGTCTGTGGTCACTTTCTTTACTGGTGAATGATGTGGCAGTGCCAGCTCTGGGCTCGTGGTCCTGGGTTAGAGAAGAAAGCTGGCCATGCTGAGCAAACCAGTAGGCGATGTTCCTCCATGGCTCTGGCTTTAGTTCTGCCTCTAGTTCCTTGCCCTGACTTCTCTTGCTCATGCACTGTTACCTGGATATTAACACGAAATAAACCTTTTCCTCCCCACCCCCCCGCGCCACAAAAGAATGTCTATTTTTGGCTGAAGTGATAGCTCAGGGGGTAAAGGGACCTCCTGCCAATCTCCCTCCACATATGCCATGGCAATGCGTTCTCACACATACATTCTTTTTCAAATCTGTCCTTAGTGGAGGATGAGGTTCACTGGCAGAAGGCTAGCCTAGCACGCTCAAAGCCCATTACAAACTGGAGAACAAGGAAAGGAAGAACAGGAGCAGATGGAACAGAGGACTGGGGATGTTCTCAAACACCTGGCCAGGACATCTGGATTGGTCAGCGGTGACTGAGAGAAAACATCAAACCTATATCATGCATGTCTGCGAGTTTACCTCGGGGAAATAACCCAGCAAAGGGTGCTCACATTCTGTCCACCCGCTCTTGCTTCTAACACCGGCACTGCATCAGGCCAGTCAGTAGTGAAGAATTTGTACCGAGGGAGGGTGGTCAGCCCTGACGAAAGCAACACACTGCAGCTATGGTGGTTTTTGAGGAATGGGTACTTTCAGGACCATTTATGTGGTGTGTACAGATGAAAGGCACATCCACATTACCGGCCACAAAGCAGCATGTGGCAGACTGGTCCTTTAGTTCTCTGTCTTCCCATCTTCTAATCCGTCTACACAGGAAAAGAATCACTTTAAAAGCCTTCCTAGCTCCTCACTTAATGAAACAACAAAACACTGAACAAGGAACCCACCTCTAGATCACAGTGTTTTGCTTTTTGTTTTATGCTTTTGCACGCCTCAAGGATTCAAACCATCAATGTTGCAGCCAAACTGTTTTATGCCGGGAAAGTTCCAGTTGAGAAAAAAACCGCTAGCTCTCTAAGATAAAGTTGCAGCTCCGGACCTGGCGGCATCGCCCATTTACAGCACGAAATAACATGCTTCCGGAGCCAGAGGCAGTAGAGGCAGGCAGACGACAGGGTGCCTGCACTTGCCATCCGGGCGGCGCCTTCTTCCCGACGCCTGCTGCGGCTACAGCCCGCCCGCGATCCCGCCGGTGTCCATCCCGGTCTCCACCTTACCTGTGCGTCCTGCCCTGCGAAGTCCGCCACCCAGGCGCCTGGTCCCTAGTTTGCCCCGGGCTGACTCCAGGGCGAGGTGAAGCCCGTCCCCCGTAGGGCTCAGTGCTGCAGGATGCACCGGAGTCGACTAGGCGCCGTCCGCCCACGCCAACGGACGGTGCAGCTAGGTTCCCCGACGCCGCCCACTTGGGGCCGAGCAACTTCGCGCGGAGGAGAGCTGGGTTCGCGACCAAGGCTGAGGGCTACACACCCCCTGGCGGCCTGCGGGCAGCGCGCAGCGAGCTTGAAGTTGGGACGCACAGGCGTGGGATGGAACCGGATGTGACGCACAGGAAGTCGCCACGGCGGAAGCGGGTCCGGGTGAGCCCCCTGGGGAACACCTTGGTTCCTTCCAGACCCGAGCCGGGTCCCTTGCACGCTCGCGTGTCGGTGCCTTCTGTCACGTTCGGGCGCAAACCACGCGCGCGCGTGTGTATGGGGGGGGGGGATCTTTTCCATTTGTAGCGCGACCGTGTGGCCTCCCGTTGACTCCTTCCGGGCCGGTAATGCGGAACGGAAGAGCAAGACTTCCCCCGGTCATCTTTGGAACGTTCCACCGAGACCGAGACCGGAGGGGTTGAGTCACAAGGCTGCGGAGGCACAAGGTACCGATCTGCAAGTCCAGCCTGGATTTTGATATCGAGGAGCCTAAAAAACAATCTGGCTAGAAAACAAACGCAGCGAAAACAAAAGCGCTCACTGACGGACACACGAACCACCCCAGCACCGGACTCCCTGCGTCTCGGGTGCGGTCACGAGCTGCGGGGCGGGCCGGGACCGTGGCGATGAGGCCCTGGGTGGAGCCGGAGGAAGCTCGCTCGGCGTTTGAGCGTCCCTTGTGGCCACTGGCCGTCAGAGCCCTCCGCTGCTTACCATGGAAGGGTCTTCTGTGGGTATATTGAGGCTCCCCGTAGCTGGAGATCCTGCCCGTAAAGCTCCACTTTTTATCAAACCTTCATTTGTTTTTTTTCTTGGTTGTTTGACAGTCAGTAAGGCTTCTTCAAATCTCACCCAGAGATGGCTCAGAGGTTAAGAGCATTGCCTGCTCTTCCAAAGGTCCTGAGTTCAATTCCCAGCAACCACATGGTGGCTCACAACCATCTGTAATGGAGTCTGGTACCCTCTTCTGGCCTGAAGGCATACACACAGACAGAATATTGTATACATAATAAATAAATAAATATTTTTTTTAAAAAAAAATCTCACCCAGAATAAGTTAAAATGGAGCTTCTTAAACCTTTTCCACTGGAAAACCCTTTTCATATGCAAGTCATACATTTACTGATAATCAACCTTAAATTTATCCTAAAACAAAAATTTTTTTCCGAGACAGGATTTCTCTGTAACAGTTCTGTCCTGGAACTAGCTCTTTTGGACCAGGCTGGCCTCAAACCTCTGCCTCCCGAGTGCTGGGATTAAAGGTGTGTGCCTGCCTCCACCACCATCCAGCCTAAAACAATTCTTTGTTGAGAGGCAGAGACCAGACTGGTCTACTTGGAGAATTCCAGGAGAACCAAGGCTATGTAGTGAGACCCTGTCTCAGCAAACAAACAAAATCCAGTTCTTTGGTATGCATGCAATTTTACCTCTTACTAAAGACGAAAGCAAACTGGCTTAAGAATGAGAAGGCATGCTTTATTTCACAGAACTGAATATTTATACTGCAGGACATAGAATATCTTCAGCATTTTTTAGAGTTGATATTTTTAGTCCTCATTGATAAGGACACTGCTTCATTTAAATTCTGTAGTACAAATTGGCATAAGTAAGCCCCTAATTAAATGCTTCCTTTGATAACTTTCCTTGGTCATGGTGTAATGATTCAACCACAGAACATGGCTGACACTTCTGGGTTCCAGGGCCACGCGTGTGCTGGCAAGCCCTCAGGCAGAAGTGCCTAATGGCCCGGGAATCGTAAAGGACCCTGCGTGACCCACATGCAGCATGGTTGCACGATCTACGTATGACGTAACCACAACATTCCCCACCCACCCAACCCCACGTGTCCCGTGTTTCCTTCTCACTCGCACCAGGTAATTTCACATGGCATGTCTTCACAGGAATAGAATAGTAGCAGGTATAATCTCATCTCTGTAAGAAGGCTAAGGGCTAGGCATGGTGGTGCACACCTTTAATCTCAGCGCTGTAACAGAGCCCCAAACCTTAACAGGGCCCAGACATCAGCACACAGTTGACTCGGTGAGGAAAGCACCATTAGAACACAAATCTCAGCAAATGAACAGCACCACCTGCCAAAACAAAATGAAGACCTAATCCATCAATCCATAGTTCTGGGAAACTCTTACGTGGACTAACCTTGCGTTTTGGGTTCTGTAGTTCCACCTCTGGCGGACTGGCAACCCAGAATATGGTTTTTGTGCGTAAAAATCTCACCCCCGAGATAGGCTCGGTGCTACACTGGAATCCGGAACACCCGTGTAGTGGCCAGCCAGCTAATTCTATTGGCTTAAACCCATATCCGAGGCATCTTCCTGATGACTACCCCACCACTGGAGGCAGGACTGATCTACAGGGTAAGTTCCAGGGTATCCAGGGCTACATAGAGATTCTGTCTTAAATAAATAAAAATGAAGAGGCCAAAATGTGTGCTGGCTGAGGTGGCACACACCTGTTATTCCAATCCCAGCACTCAAAAGACTGAGGCAGAAGGATCCCAGTTCTACACCAGCCATGACTACATAGCAAAAACTTGCCTTTAAAAAAAAGTGAGCCGGGCGGTGGTGGCGCACGCCTTTAATCCCAGCACTCGGGAGGCAGAGGCAGGCGGATCTCTGTGAGTTCGAGACCAGCCTGGTCTACAAGAGCTAGTTCCAGGACAGGCTCCAAAGCCACAGAGAAACCCTGTCTCGAAAAACCAAAAAAAAAAAAAAAGTGAGAGACACCCAGGAGCCTGCATGGATTGACCTAGGCCTTCTGCATATATGTTACAAATATATGTGTTTGTGTAGCTTGGGCTTCCTCATCCTCATACTGGGTTGCCTTGCACAGTTTTTTTTTTTTTTTGGATTTTCGAGACAGGGTTTCTCCGTAGCTTTTTTGGTTCCTGTCCTGGAACTAGCTCTTCTAGACAAGGCTGGCCTCGAACTCACAGAGATCCACCTGCCTCTGCCTCCCAAATGCTGGGATTAAAGGCGTGCGCCACCACCGCCAGGCCCAGTCTTTTTTTTTTTTCTTCAGTAGTTACGGAGCCAGCCCTGGAGCTCGCTCTGTAGATCAGGCTGGCCTTCCACTCACAGAGATCGCATGCCTTTACCTCCTGAGTGCTGGGATTAAAGGCGTGCACCACCACCCAGCTGCCTGGCCCAGTCTTAAAGCAAGAGGAGGTACTAAATTTTACTACAACTTGATATGTCATGTTTTGTTGATATCCATGGTAGGCCTGCCTTTTTCCGAACACAAATGGAGGAAGAGTGGATTGGGAGGGGGGAAGAGGAGACGGGAATTTTAAAAAGTGGTAGACAGCTGGGTAGTGGTAGTACATACCTTTAATCCCAGCACTTGGGACGCAGAGGCAAGCAGATCTTTCTGAGTTCAAAGCCAGCATCATCTACAGAGAGTTCCAGGACAGCCAGAACTATTACACAAAGAACCCTGTCTTGAAGAAAGAAACCAAACAAACAAACATGGTTGAGTAGTAGTTGCTGAGGTGGCTTAGCGGGTAGACACCGCCACGCCTGACAACCTGAGTTTCATCCCTGGAACTGACCCCTGATTTACACACACACACACACAAATAAATAAATAATAAATGGGTAGGTGCTGAAGAGATGGCTCAGGCACCTGAACACTAATAATATACGTACCCCGCATATATGTACACATAATCAAAAATAATGAGATTGTATCTGAAAAAGTGAAAGGAGGAAGTAAAATGATTCTTGATTCTTTTTTTTTTTTTTTTTTTTGGTTTTTCGAGACAGGGTTTCTCTGTGGTTTTGGAGCCTGTCCTGGAACTAGCTCTTGTAGACCAGCCTGGTCTCGAACTCACAGAGATACGCCTGCCTCTGCCTCCCGAGTGCTGGGATTAAAGGCGTGCCGTGCGCCACCACCGCCCGGCTTGATTCTTGATTCTTTACTGACACAGAGACCCCAGAACTTTATTTGGAGGGCATCTAAACTATTTGCCTAAACTTAGTTTACAGACGACTTCACAGATCTTGAAATTTGCCAAGAATTGGATGCAGCCACATGTAGATTATTATCTTAAAAAAGGTCTGTTTTATACCTCTTTGATAATTTGACTATGGAGAAGACCTTAATGTTTTTAGGTTAAATTTCTTTACATGGGCTTGGTGACCCAGAACTGTAATCCCAGCTTCCCTGGTGACTGAGGCAGGAGGAACACAAAGTTTAAGGCTTGCCTGAACCAAACCACGGAGTGAGTTCAAGGCCAATCTGGGAAACTCGGCGACCCGGGTTCAAGGTAAACATTAAAAACAAGGCTGAGAATGTAGCTCAGATTAGAGTGCTTATCTGTGTGTGTACTTGTTTCAAGAGGTGGTCTCCCGTAGTTAAGAATGACCTTGAATTACTGATTTTCCTTCCCAAACCTCTTGCTAGGATTACAGGTTTGGGACACCATTTCTGGTTTACGCGGTTCTGGGGATGGAACCCAGGTCTTCTAGCATGCGAGGTAAGCACTCTTCTCCCAGCCAGCTCAGGCACTGACTTACTTGGTTTCCCCACAATCACCAGTTCTTATCTATCATTTTGTTTTCACCTCTGGTATTTTGCGGCTACACAGAGGTGCCTCAGGTACTGTTCTAGGAGGCCCGACTGCTGACCTTCAGAGTATTAGGCAGCAGGCAGTTCCCGGGAAGCCCTCAGGAAGAGTGGGTGACGGAATCAGCTTGGGTCTGTCCTCATCTGGGCTCAGGACTGAGCTCAGCCTAACACTCCAGTGCTCCTCACTACCCTGGTATTGTGACCAAGCAATGTCAGAAAATCATACGGGAAGGGCCAGGTGGTAGTGGTGCAGGCCTGTGAGTCCAAGGCCAGCCTGGTCTCCTAGAGCTAGTTCCAGGACAGGCTCCAAAGCTACAAGAAAGTTAAGGGTCCAATGTCAGCAGCCATCGCCAGGAGTGTGGATAACCCTGGGAGCAGGTCTCTTAGCACTCCTAGTGGCTCAGTCTTGGGGCAGTGGTGGGTCTGACTTCTAGCCTCAAAGTATCCTGTAGGCCATGGAAAGGATGCAGGCTCTGGACAAGGAGACCAAGTTCTGGGTAATGTGGGGTTAACACACAGTGAGCAGTTTCAGGAATGCTGGCACCAGGAACCTTCCCTTCACAAGGTGAGGCCCCAGGTACTGGGTATGTTCTAGCAAACAACAGCCATTCTTGCTGTCAGTGGCTTCCTGAGCCCTTCTGACTAAATCTGTGATTAACACCTTCAGGGTCAGTGCTTAGGGCGGTGAGGTAGGGAAGCAAAAGGTACAAGGGATAAGCCTCGCCCTGGGAAAACCACCTTCGTGATCGTGGTATCTCCCCTGCCAGGTAAGTATTAGGGAAGCAAAAGGTATGAGTCTTGACCCTGTCAAAGTGGGCCTAAACAGAGCAGACAATGACCACTGGGAGCCTGAGCTGGCCTACAAGGTGAGAGGGTAAAGACCCTTTGTTCAGCTGTTTGTCCTGAGAACTGTGCTGGGACCTAGGCAGGGTCAGGGCTGCACGGAAGCGGTTACCCCAGTGGTCATATTACTTTTCTAGCACCGAACAAGCTCTTGACACACAAGCAGTGGACTGGTGTGACCGTGCCCACAGTATACAGGCTGCTAAGTGCTGGCAGAGATCTGCCTGGCTACCCCCGACCTAGACTAGGTATTTGGATGGTTGGCGGGTGAGGGACAGGTGGTTTCCCCTCACCCCCTTGCAACACTGGGACTCAGACTCACGTCCACTTTGGTCTCGGTGCTCTAACTTGGGAACACTACAGCCGGGAGCCTGCATGGCCATAGTCTTAGCCTTGGTAGTCACCTTTCTATCCCAGCTTTGGGCACTACACGCGACCACCTCTCTGCAGACGTGGCTGTGCCCCCAGCTCCTCATGCTATATTGGTTTAGAGCGGGCACCTAGCCAACCCAGAGTCAGGGTCTCTCTTGTGAGTAGATTGGCCTTTGGAGACCATGCTGGATGCCCTTGAGTACAGGAATTGGCTACAAAAAGACAAACAAAGCTCCTACTTATTTTTTTAAACAAGTTTATTTATTGAAAGAATCTGAAAATAGTAATAAGGCCTTCATTAACAATTAACAAATTTTAAGATATTAATATGAAACATTAAGAATTTACGTGAAAACTCCATGTGTTCTAGATCAGTCTGATGGCAGCTGCTTCTAGACTTGTCAACACTTGCTATTTAGATGCGTGACCCATGCAGACCCTGCTCTCCTCTGGACCACACAGAGGCCTGCTGTGCTTACTGTAACAGATGAACAGCACAGATCTTGGGGACAAGCAACCGCAACTTAACAGCACTGATACCAGACCACTCAGGGATCCAGAGGTGCTGAGGTCAACAAGGGCCCGGAGGTCCTGACTTTAACAGCGTGGTCAGCACTAGAGTAGCTGGTGAACCCTTCTGAGCAGCACAGGACAGAAGCCTGAAAGCCAGGCGAAGAATGGGCAGTCTCCCTTCCTCCTCCCGCCAGAAGAGTGGAAGATAACCTAACTGCAGCACCTTGGCTGACCAGTGACTCCACAAACGCTCCAGGGTCTGTGTGGCGTCCACATGTGTTACTTGTGTTACATACATGTGTTGCACAGAGGGCTACATGTGGCTGCTGCTCAGATGCAAACCTAAGACTCTTGTGGAAGGAGGGCAGGCCCACAGCCTGATGTCAATAGTGAGTTGGTCTCAAAACCCTTGTGGCCACTGTGGGAAGAGTGGAAGCACGGAGCCCTGTCCCGGACACAATGTAAACACTGGATGACAGGCAGTCCCCTCTAAATCTTCACAAAGTGTGTACAAGAAAATATGTACATAATCACTTCAGAAAGTTTAAAATAATCTCTAAAAAGTGTACACAGGATTTAAAATGTCTCGGGAGCTGCTGCCCTGCGATATGAGGAATGTGACGTTGCTGGATGGCTGTGCAAAGTGTGGCCTCTGCTCTGGGAGGAGTCAGAGGCCTTGGGCCAGACTGAAGAGGTACCTAGCCATCACATGCCTTGCCAACCCATAGCAAAGCTGCCAGGTGACCCCGAGAGTTGCAGGGGAAAGGTGCAGTCCCTGGGGAAAAGCACTGCAGCTAAAGGAAGATTTCTGGCTGAGACATTTATTTCAATATCAAAGGGAAGATCAATTCATTCTGACCCCCTCAGAATTTCAACAGACTGATTTATGGGAATTCCTGACCTGGGATCTCAGGGGGCCCATGGGAGAGATGTAGGACACCCAGCTCAGTTCTCATTTTGCTTCTTTAGAAATGAAAAAGAGGTTTAAAAACATTAAAAAGCTGATCTCTTCTTCAAAAGGCAGACCCAAGCTCTCCCAGCAAGGCAGGCAGGACACAGAGATCCTGGACAGCCATGTGGTTGGTCAAGGCCAGGTCGGCCAGAAGGCCAGCAGGAGAGCCAGAGAAGGAAGGCCCCCAAGGGCTTGAAGGCTCAGGTCAGAGGCTGGCAAGTGAGGCCTAGCTGTCCTCCTCGTCCTGGTCCTCATCCTCCGGGAAGTGAGCTTGCTTCTTCCGAACATTCCAGTGCAGACACTGGGCAAGGCTCTCAAACCAGTCACTCACAGGGTCACACACACAGATAGAGGGCAGCGGGTAGCAGGAGGTGGTGATGCTGATGCTTTGAAGGAAAGAGAAATACGTCTGTGTAAGCTGGGTGCCTTTTCAAGTAACAAACTACTCTCCCTAGGTCAAGGCCCTCTCCCAGGGTCTCACTTTGTCCAAATGGAAGCAGCCACCCTGGATCCTGAGAGGATCAGACAGAGACTCTGTCCCTGTTTTCACCAGGTCTCTGGCTCCCAGGGGTCCAGGCAACTTCTGAGGTGAGGCAGGGTAGGGACTTTAGAATGACCAGGCCAATACATAAGCAGCTCTGCTGGTCCGTCCTAGAGCCTGTGACTGCTGTTGGCAGCACACCCACACATCCAGGAAGAGGAGGGGCTAGCCTGAGTCAGTGCACCGCTATCTGAGGCTATGGACCTCTCATCTGCAGGTGCTGCAGGTCACAGGCAGTGCAACAGCCTTGCCAGAGGTGACTCTCCCTAGATCTAGGCTCAGGCCAGTCCAGTCTCTGTGTATAACAAGAACCAAGGGGCCGGGCGGTGGTGGCGCACGCCTTTAATCCCAGCACTCGGGAGGCAGAGGCAGGCGGATCTCTGTGAGTTCGAGGCCAGCCTGGTCTACAAGAGCTAGTTCCAGGACAGGAACCAAAAGCTACGGAGAAACCCTGTCTCGAAAATCCAAAAAAAAAAAAAAAAAAAAAAAAAAAAAAGAACCAAGGGGCATGGCCTTGCTACAAGCCTACTACACCTACACGTGGTCATGCTTTGTAACAGGGACCAATACCACACGACAGAAAACAAGGTCAGCCCACGCCCAGCACTGCAGCCCCACACCTGTCTCCATGGCGTATTTCCTGCCTCTTCCGTCCATCAAACGACACCCATGCAGTGTTCCTGGCCTCTGGTGACAGCATAATCTAAGGGGTGGAACAGGAACAAAAGTGGGCTCTAGGCATGCAGAGTCCTCCGGAGTTCCTATATGGAACAACTTCAGCCTCACGTCGGTGCTCTAAGACTGGCAGCTACCTCCTAGACATGGTCATTAGAACTCACGCTAGTGACAAACTAGCCTGAGTGGCCTGTGATGAGGTGATAGAAAAATGAGGCTGGGCTGGACACTCAGAGGTCAGCCAGAGACCAGGTCAAAGGTTCTGTGGAGGACACCAATCAGGGGTCTTTCATCACAGAGACACTTTCGTCATTCACTCCCAATGGGGCCCATCCCTACTACTTGCAACTGAGAGCCTTGCAATGGAGGGCTGGCCAGCTCTCTGTGCCACCAGAGACCATGGACAGTTGCAAAGCTAGCTGAGAGGCAGGACTCCCATCTGAAGGTGCTGGGAGTGGCATTGTCTTTTGGAGGTGGCAGGTGCTGAGGGAGTGACAATTGCTTTTTGCTGGCTCAGGGTCAAGACTCTCAGACCAGAGGAGATACAGGGAGATTGCTCTGACCTTCAGCTCAACCCCTGCTGGGACCACGATGGGCCGGAATGACAGCGAGTGGGGGCAGATGGGCGTAACCATGATGGCCGGCACATTGGGGTGGACCATGGAAGCCCCGGCTGCAGCTGCATATGCTGTGCTGCCCGTCGGGGTGGACACGATCACGCCATCGCCCTGCACAGTGGTGATGAGGTGTCCGTCCAGGTAGACATCTACGTTCGATAGGTATGAGGAGGGGCCTCTGTCGATCACCACTTCATTCAAGACCTGGAAGAGATGGCAAGGCCATGGCACTACCATAAGCACTTACGGTGCACCCGCAGTTTCTTATCCTAGTGTCAGGGATCCCAGCCCGAGTGCACCCCACCCTGATCCCTTGCTGGGGACGTCTCCACAGACCTGGTACTGCATGGCCTGCTTTCCGCCCTCTGGGTCCAGGCCGTTCTCACTGAGGCCATTATGGATGGCTCTCTTCTTGTCTCTGGGCTCTTTCACCACCCTGACCTTCAGCCGGCTCCTCAGGATGACTGCGGCATTCCCTGGGGTCAGCAGGATCCAGCTCAGGGAGGCTGGGACCCTTCACCTTTCTGTTCTACGCCAGTGACCTCAGTGCATTCCACCAAAGCCACCCTGAGCAGCCATGTGCTGCCAGATTTCCCACTTTAGTAAGGAGTGTTTGAAATATCTGAAATTTAGAAATCTCTAAATCTTGAAACTACATCATTAAATAACAAATATGAAAAAAACAAAACAAAAAAAACCAAGGGGGTTGGAGACATGGCTCAGTGGTTAAGAGCACTGGTTGCTTTTAAAGAAGACCCAGTTTCAATTCCCAGCTCTCACATGGTGGATCACAACCATCTGTAACTCCAGTCCCAGAGGATCCCACACCTCCATGGGCACAAGGCATACATGTGGTACATAGATATACTTGCAGGCAAAATACTTATACACATAAAATTAAAAAATAAAAACAGCAGCAACAAAAACATAACCAAGGAGGAGGTAAACCCTGAGCTGTTTTGAGAGATCCAGAACATTCCAACTTACCCTCTATCACCTGATTCACTTGGGATTGGAAGTTCTCAAAGTTGAATGGGGTCAGGAAGCCCAGGGAGCCAAGGTGGAAGGCCATAACAGGAGGCACACTGCCCTGTGGGTGAGGAGACCAGGTGGCATTGCTGGGCTACCCAGGAAACACCAAACTGCCGATAGCTGTGGACCCTGGGGATGGGTAGGCATGAGCAAGGCAAGAGGTAGAAGAGCCAGAACAGGGCAGGATGGTGCCATCTCCCCAAGAAGTGAGAACAAGGTGGGAAGGGCCA